TTCAATGCAATCCCTATTCAGGTACCAATGGCATGCTTCTCAGAATTAGAACAACTAATCCTGAGGTTTGTATGGAACCACAAAAGACTCTGAATAGCCAAAGAAATCTTGAGAAAGAACAAAGTGGGAGGCATCATGCTTCCTAATATCCCACTATACTACAAAGTTCCAATCATCAAAACAGTATGGCACTGACATAAAAAATATATAGATTAGTGGACTAGAACAGAGAGCCTAGAAACAAATCCTCATTTATACGGCCCATTAGCATATGACAGAGGAGGCAAAGATAGATACAATGGAGTAGAGACAGTTTCTTCAAGAAGTGGACAGACACATGCAAACAAATGAGACTGGGCTACTTTCTTACACTATATACAAAAATAAACCCAGAATGCATGAAACACTTAACTGTTAGATCTGAAACCATAAAACTTCTAGAAAAAAAACATAGGCAGTAAACTCTAACATCACAATATCTTTTCTGATATGTCTCCTCAAGCAAGGAAAACACAAGGAAAAATAAACAAATGAGACCACATCAAATGGAACAGTTTTTGCACAGTGAAGGAAACCATAAAAAAAGAAAAAGAAAACCTACTTCGTTGGAAAAGATACTCACAAATGATACATCCAATAAGGGGTTAATATCCAAAATATATAACAGACTCAAACAACTGAACATCAAAAAAAAAAATCCAATTTAAAAATGGGCAGAGTACCTGAATAGACATTTCTGTTTCTCCCAAGGGGACATGCAGATGGCCAGCAGATATATGAAAAGATGCTCAACATCAATAATCATCAGGGAATGCAACTTAAAACCACAACGAGCTCCCACCTCACACCTGTCAGAATGGCTCTCGTCAATAAAGAAAGAAAGAAAGAACCAGTGCTGGCGAGGATGTGGAGAAAGGGGACCCTTGTGCACTGCTGATGGGAATGCAGACTGGTGCAGCCACGGTGGAAAATAGTATAGACGCTGCTCAAAAACTTAAAAATACAGCTGCCGTAGGATCCAGCAATCCCATTTCTGAGTATTTATCCGAAGAAAACAAAAATGCTAATTTGAAAAGATACATGCAGCTCTATGTTCCCTGCGACATTAGCGCTAATAGCCAAGATAGGGAAGTAACCTAGATTCCATCAATAGGCGAGTGGACAGAGAGTATGTGGTACATAGTATACACACTGGAATAGTATTCAGCAATGAAAAAGAATGGCATCTTGCCATCTGCGACGACGTGGATGGACCAGAGGGTATTATGCTAAGTGTGATAGATAAATTGTACAGAAAAAGACAAATACCATATGATCTCACTTATATGTGGAATCTAATAAGAAGAAGAAGTAAACAAAATAAAACAGAAACAGACTCAGAAATAGAGAGGACAAGCTGATGGTTGCCAGAGGGGAGGGAATGAAGTAGTCAGAATGTAAAAAAAATAAATGTTTATGAGGCATATCCATGAAAGAGCTATTTGGTGTGAGACAGAACCCAAATCCAGGAGGTGAGCTTTATTGCCAGTGTCAGTAAGTGGCTGTTTTCCCTTGGGCCCTCGTAAGGTGGAGAGTAGCTCACTACTGAGCTGCCCCCCCACCCCAGGGAGCTCAGACGGTCACGGCCCACTTCCCGAGGGACACGTCTGCTCATCTGCGATGATGAGAGGGCCTTTGGGCCCTAAGTCATTCTGGAGAACCTGACAGTCCCAGCCACCAAAGATCCGGGCAAAGGGGAGGAGAGGGTCAGCTGGGACCAGAACCCCTGACCCCAGCATCCCGGGTTCTGAGCCCCTGCTGTGCGTCCTGGGTTCCTTCCGGTTTCCTCACTCAGGGGCTAGGGGACGAGTTCAAACTCCTGCACCACGTCACCAGCTTCACTGAACACGGAGAACAAGGCGCTGGGTGTTCATCCCCCCTCTCGAACCCTAAATGGAACCTGGAGGGTAGGCATTACACACGTCGTGTTCGCGCGGAATCTCCTGTACCTGAACACACACACTCTACGTTTCCTGAAGCCACTAATCGCTGCCACTCCCACGTGTGAATTTGCATTGGGTTTACAAAGCCACGGGATGACATCATCGGTGCCGTTCATTCGGCCTGCGCTGAGCACCTGCTGCGGGCTGCACACTCTCCCAGGTGCTGCGTACACAGCAGGGAGTGAGGCAGACACCCCTGGCCTCAGGGAGCTGCCATTCTCCCAGGCAGAGGCAGAAAAGAATAGTAAACATAATAAGCGTGTCATCTGGCAGGAATACCTTGGTTCAGGAGAACGGGGTAGGAGGAAGCAGATAAGGAGGGTGGTGCAGCTTTAAACCAGGAGTCCGGAGAGGCCTCCCTGGGAGAGTGAGTGTGAGCAGACACGTGAGGGAGGCAAAGCAGAGAGGCCCGGGGGTCACTGGGAGCACGAGCTCTTCTTCATCCTCGCCTCACGCAGCAGTGGGTCAGGGCGTGGCCGTAACTTCACTCCTTCGGTACCTCGTTCTTTAAGCAGACGAGAAAGAGGCCACGCCTTGATCCGTGATCCCGACCCTTCTACAGAGCACGGACGAGCCTTCCTTTCTCCCCGAGGTCTAGCAATATACGAGTTCTCAATAAGTGTGTGTTGAAACAATTAACTCATCCACAACCAATAATTTGTTTATGAGAGCCAGAGATACCCCCTACCTTCCCTACAAGAATTAAAGTCGCTACAAATCGTCCCAGAAACCGCAGATGGGAGGCTTTTCCGAGACCTAAAGGGGCCGCGTTTCCTTTCCGCATTTTCCCTTCCAGCCTTTGTCTGTTGGCGTAACTCACCCATGAGTCAGTGTTGTGTGACCCTAGCCGTAAGATTTTTGAGATTTGGTTTTCTCCTGCTTATGTTGTAGGCCTTTTCCTCTGGTATTTCATAGTCTTTGTAAGAATCATCATGGATGTGGGATGCCTAAGGTCAGTTATTCTCCCAGCCTGCCAGCTAAAGCAAGGTTGCTTCCAATGTCCTTGGATTACAGTATCCAAGGTAACAGGTGGGCTCCATAGCTCAGTGGTTAGAGCACTGGTCTTGTAAACCAGGGGTCGCGAGTTCGATCCTCGCTGGGGCCTCCTGTGAGCATCACTTTTTTTCTTTTTTTAATGATCCGGCGTAAATACGGAATAGCGACTCCAAAAGGGAAAAGTCATCCCTGAAAACGTTACCCGGCAAGACAGAAAGCTGCGCCTCCTGAAACGCAAATGATGGGCATCCTTACTGTGCTTTCGATGTGATCCGGAAGAGAAAATCCTGGACTGCAACAAAGACCGGAGAAAAAAATAAAAATAGAAAAGCCATCTTCGGCACCCCGCCCCACCCCCACCCCCCGCCGGCGCTGCCGGCACCTGCGGGCCCGAGCACGAGAAAGGGAAGCGGGAGGCTCCCCGAGCGAGCTCGTTTGCACCGCCTCGGAAACGCCAGCCGGGCAGTGCGCGGCCGAAAGTGGAAAGGCGTCCCCTCCCGGGCACGCCGGCGCGGACCGAGGGGCGGAGGGGACGCCGCGCCTGCAGTTCTGCCGCGCGGCCGGAGGAGGGCGCTCTGGCACCGGTTCCCACTCGCGTCTTTCCAGGCGGGCGAGTGAACCTGTACCGAGTGTGGCCAGCGTGGCCCAGAAGAAAGCGCGCTGCGGCTGCCACGTGGCATCCCTGGCCTCAGAGCCCAGCAGCGATAACGGGTCCTGCCGGCTTCCACAAGGAGGGGGAGACGTTCCCCAAAATAAACTGCCCGGGCGGCTTGGAAAGCCAGTGTTGGAAGCCCGTCTCATTCATTTCTCTGTTGCTGTGTGTGTTTGCAGGGAGGGGGGTTGGGGGGGGTGCCCCAGAATTCTAGAATGCGCGTGACTATAGAGTCATTAAGAGCCTTTTTTGAATGCATGAAGGTTCCCCACCCACGATTTCTTTTCCCACATCTCAGGGCTAGGGCTGGACAAAGGACTCTCTGTAAAAAGTGGCTACCAGCCACGTGTGGGCAGTGAGGGCCTGAAATGTAGCTAATCCGGGTTGGGATGTGCAGAAAGAGTAAATACTCAGAAAACTCAGTTCAAAAAAAGATGTGAACTATCCCATTAGTCATTGTTAAATTGGTAATATGTTGAAATGTTAATAATGTAGATACAGTGAATTAAATAAAATATATAATTACATTAATTTTACCTCTTTCTTAAATGTGACCACTAGAAACTTTTTAATTACATGGGTGGCTCCCATTTGTAGCTGTCGTATTTCTCTGTTGGGTGGTGCAGGTTTAGGGAGTCCCAGCCCTGTGACCTTGAGTTCAGGTTCATTTTTAACCAGGTAAACTGTAGTAGACAGAGGCACCGGGGACTCCCCCAGCCAGGACTGTGCCTGGCAGGCAGTAATCATGGCCTTAGTTGAAATAAAATTAAGTATCTCTCCAACATAATTTCAAACCCCATGAAGAACCAGAGAACAAAAGTGTTTCTTACATTGAGTTAGCTTTGGGACTGATGCAATTGTGACACTCTCTATCATGGCTTGCAAGATGTTAGGTCTGGAAAAACACACTCACACCTTTGCTGGTCATTTTGCCCTTCTGTGGTCAAGACATCTGCTGTGACCGTGAAGTGTTTCCGAGGCCTTGAGGAAATAGGCCCCACTGAGGCAAGAAAAATATCCCTAATTATCCCACAAGGGTCAGCACTTCACCGACACCGATGTCCTTTTACAAACCCTTTACAGATCCTTGAATGCCTTCATGCCCAGACTACTCGCTCTGCACCTGCAAAGCCGATGACCCTCTCAGAGGGGCTGCCCTTGGAAACCCGTGGCCTCAGGCCTCCTCTTAGACCTGGGATGTGGTGTGAGAGTGAAATAGGCCAATGCCAAACACTCTCGAGATCAAGAGGTATGGGTCCATTCGAGCAAGTGCTGATTTATTGCAGTACCTTCGGTCGTAGGCATTTACAAAGCAAAACAGAGACAGGCAGTGTCGGAGCAGGTTTACGGACCAGTGCCCAGGCCAGGTGCGCTGGCCACGTGGGATTTGGCCCCCTGCCAGGAGCAGACAAGGAGCACTGTTCCAGGAGCAAGATTCCCTCGGAAAAACAAGGAGGCCCTAAGCCAAGCTCTCTCCGCCATCGCGGCCCCGACCACCCCCATCCCTGCTTCCCGTGTGTCTAAAGAGGCCCCCGCTGAACACAGCAGGTTCTGCGTGGTGAGGAGGCTCTCCCTCCGCAGGCCAAGGAAGGCTCCTTCCAGCCGGCCCCCACCACGCAGACTGGCTCTCGGGGCCGCTGCGGGGCTTCCGGCTCCTCTTCCTCTTCCCTTGGGGGTTCGGGGGCCACACTCAGGCTCCCTTCTCTGCCCCAGGACCTCGAAACGGCTTCCTGCTTCTTGTGGGAGAAGCCGGCTTCTTGGAGGAGCCTTTCCGAGAGGAGGCCGGGTCTGGACGGGAAGCTGAAGTCACGTTGGGTAACTTTCTAGCAGCTTTCTCTGACTGCTCCTTCAGCAACTCCAAGACCGTCTCTGGGAAACAGGCATTTGTGTAGTGAGAAATTCAAGTCCTGGAACAGTAGCTCAAAGAAAAGCACCGCCCAGGAGACCCATGATGGCATGAGGGCTCTTTAATATAAATTCGTTTGAAGTTAATATTGTTTAAATCCCTTAACTGGCTTTGATCTAAATACGATACTCCTTTAGTAGTCACTCCAGTGGCACACACTCTGGAATAGTTAGTGCCCTCACAGATACTGCCCCTCCTCTACCGGTCTCTCCCGACTGCCCACCCTACTCCAAGGAAGCGGTCCTCACCCTAGGGGCTTCAGGGTCACGTCTATTTCTTTATTTGCCCACATTACCGGCCCCCCCTCCATTTGACTCTAAACTCCTACAGGTCAGGTTCGCGGCTATATCCCCAGGCATCAGCACAGTGCCTGCCACAGAAGTACTAAGTGAATGAAGCCAAATGAATGAATGAATACATGAGAGATTGAATGAATACATGAGTGCATGAACGAATGAATAAATACATGAGTGACTGAATGAATGAATACATGAGTGATTGAATGAATGAAGACATGAGTGATTGAGTGAATGAATGAATACATGAGTGAATGAATGAATGAATACATGAGTGATTGAATGAATGAAGACATGAGTGATTGAGTGAATGAATGAATACATGAGAGAATGAATAAATACATGAGTGACTGAATGAATGAATACATGAGTGACTGAATGAATGAATACATGAGTGATTGAATGAATGAATACATGAGTGATTGAATGAATACATGAGTGACTGGATGAATGAATACATGAGTAATTGAATGAATGAATGAATGAATGAATGACAACAGGTCATCGGGGAAGCAGGTGCACAGAGTAGATGTATAGACTGAGCCACAAGTCACGCCCCTCAACCACAGGACAGGCCGTAGGTGAGAAAGTAAACCCTCCCACCCAACAGGGCTGTCGTGATTGCAGAGGGTGCCAAGGTCTGAGTCAAAGACAAGGACAGACTGACTCACTGGCGAGTGGCCTGAACGGGACCCGCTTACTCTTGGTTTCCACTGGCACTGGCTTGTACTTGCACTTGCCCGGGGGGGCTCGCCTGCAAACGGAGAGAAAAAGTGAGGACCCAGGGCTCTGGAGACGGCACTAGAGAACCGAGGTCCCCAGGAAGGGCACATTTGCATGGTCTGGGTTCAGTGTCTGGGTTCAGCGCTCCCCTCTCTGTGGGGCGGGGTGAGGTGTAGTCGGAAACAGGTGACGAGCTCAGGTGCAAAGCACAAAGGACGTGGCCGTCACAGGGACCCCACAGGGACCCCACAGGCCCTTGGGCGGTGGTGTCATGAAGGGCTTATCTCCACATCTGCAGAATGGAAGAGTAATAGCACCTCTCCTTGCAGGGGGACAGGGAAGATTACATGAGACTGTGTGTACACTTGGCACACCACGAGTGATGAATAAATACTTTTTAAATTTTTTTAATGAGGTTCAAAAAATTACACGGAACAGTGCCAGCTGTCTCACAAGTGCCCCATAGCCGATGGTGATGATGATGATGATGACGATGAAGAAAATCCCTTGAATAACTGGTGGCGCGGTCCCTTGAATAATGCCACGCCCCTGCCTCCTAGGGCACTCATCCTGAACCTGCTGCCCCCGGGAAGGGTCTTCCAAAACCAAAGAGACCCCTGCTGCCCAGGGCAGAGAGGGACCTTGCTGGCCAGTCCCCACCGCCACCTTCTCTGCCTCATTCCAACTCTCTCTCGTCACTATTACACCCGTCCCACATGAAAAAAAAGTAACTTTATTTATTTGCTGAGCACTTATAGAATGCTTGGGCTCCCTAATACCTGATAAATATAACTCACTGAACCCTCCCAATAACCCTGTAAGGCAGGTGCTCTTATTATCCTATGGCGCAGCAGGGAAACCGAGGCACGCAAAGGTTCAAAAACAGATGCAAGGTCACATAGCTAGTTCGTGGCAAAGCCAAGATTCAACCCCAGGCAGGAGGACGAGATGGAAGGGAGGGAAAATTACACAGAAATAGATCGACTGCCCTCAGAACGCGGAGAAGGATGCATTCAGCGCAACGACGGCCTGAATAAGCAGGCGGAGTGGAATTTGCAGCCACGGCTACGGAAGTTCTTTAAAAGTCTGTACAAGTCAGCGTAAGCATAGCCAAAGCGAATGAGCGGGGTGGGAATGACTTTAATCCACAAAGGAAGCCAAGCCCCTATGCTCAGCCCCTGTGCTCCCTAGCTGGACCTCGGGCAGGCGATGTTACTGAGCCCGGCTCCGTGGCCTTGTTGGCAGGCCCAGGGTGTTAGCTGCCCTGCTGGCAGCATGAGTGCGTGGGACACGGGGACCGCTCAGTAGATGTCACCCTGAGGAGACAGGTGCATGAGGAAGGGTGTCCTCCGTGTGGAGCAGCGGCTTGACGGCTGACCTCTCACCGTGGCTGCTCTTGTGATGGAGGACAGCGGAATTATCCCCCAGCCAACTCAGGAAACTGATGAAGGGAAGAAAAGGGGGTTCACGCACACACGCAGAGAAAGAGACCCTGTTACTAGAAAGAGCAGATCTCCGCACCAGGCATGACCAGCCCCCGGAAGCATTTTGAAGACCCTGCTTGGCCCCGTCCACTGAGACCAGGAGCTGTGCGTGGAGCAGATCAGCTGTGGAGAGAGCCCAGCAGCAAATTCAGCCCCGGCCACCCCGCAGCAGTCGGGGCAGCGCCCAGGCACAGCCTCGGGGCCTCCGCCCCTCCAGGGACTCCGGGGGACCACCCACTGCGATCCCCGCAGCCAAACGGAGATGCGCTGTGAGCCGGTCCTGGCCCCTGAGCCCTGACCGGCAGCTGGGCCGCTTTGCCTAATGCCCTCTGACCACCACCCCAGACGCGGGTAATGTAAGCAAGCCTCCTAGGGAAGTTTTTCTCTCTGGGTCTTTCTTCAAGCTGACTCGCGGGGAGACGTGCCTGCCTCGCGCAGGAATCCCCAGAGGAGCACAGCGCCTGCGCAGAGCTCCCAGGATGGACACGCAGCAGGTACGGACCACCCACCCTCGACAACCCCCCCAGGTAGGAAGCTGTATCAGTGGCTTCTGCGGGATCAGCTGGAGGTGGGTTAGCCTCTGAGAGCGGTGGGCGAAGAAGCAGGAGAAACAGCGTACGGTCCACCCAGGGAGTCCATACTGCCACTGAGTTCCAGCAAGGGCAGGGGACAGGCACCCAGAGACTGGGCAGTTCAAACATCTCGGGAACCTCGACCAAACCCCGGGGGACAGTGCGGCGGTGCTTACTCAGGGGGTCAGAGGTGAACACCCACTGTCGGGTGATCCCAGACAGAAGTTTCCAGAACCATGTTTAAACAACAAACACAGCCTAGGAGCCACCGGTCTAGACTAGACTAGCCATCCTGGCCAGGCTCGAACTCCGCATTTCCAACCGCGAGGAGGCCACAGCCGACCAAAGGGTCCACAGGTCCCAGACAGCCGCGGTCCTGCTTTGCCTCACCAAGTCATCTCAAGCATAACTGGTCACTTCGGGTCATTCTCGGGGAGTGAGGACTCTCTTTTCATGGCCTGCCACAAAGATAGGGACCTGATAGAAACGCACCCGAGGAGAAAAGGAGACCAAATCTCACCTTGATGGGTCGACAAGTTTGTAAATGGATCCGTGGGGTGCGTAGGCACTTGGGTAGGAGGTGGCCAGGAAGTAGAGCTCTCCTGGGAAGAGAGGACAGGCAGGCAGTCACGGGACAGGGGGCAGGGCTGAGACACAGAGCTGGGGGCACAGAGGACGCTCAGCGTGGCTTGTGGCCCCGGCGGGCAGTGAGCCCCGGGGAGGGACCCGGGCTCCGGACTGACAGTCCCCAGAGGGCAGCCCAGGGGGCAGCCCAGCCAAGGTCAGTTCTGCTCGTGTTCATGGAGCCAGACGGGCATCTGCCTTCACCGTCTCTCTGCTCCCAGAATCCCCCTGGTGCACCCCCGTTTCCTTGCCCACCTCTCCCCTGTTGCCAAGGGTGCTCTGCGACACCCTGAGGCCGTATCCAGGCTGAGAAGCAGTGACCAGTCACTTCAAACGGCCCCTTCTCTGGGCTGTTACTCCCCCAGCCCCTGCCTCACTGTCCCATTCCACCTTCTCCAGTCCTGGGGTCCTAACTCCCCGTGACACCCCCTGTCTAGAGCATCTCCTCCTGGTCTTCTCCACACTCGCAGAACCCTCCTCCACCCACTGTCTCCTCGTCTCCTCTAGAAGGGTCCCAATCCCTCCCGCTCCCTCCTGTGGGGACTCTTGAGTACGCAGCTCCTTTCTCGGAAGGAACACCTCACCGCCCCCCCACCCTCCTCGTTCTGCAGGTCCCTGTGAGGGACGGGCAGCGGGGACACAGCTTCAGAGTTGGAGAAAGCTGGGTGTGACTTCTGATCACTCCGGTCATGGCTGTGTTGTCCTGGGCCGCCTCTCCACCTCTGTCACCCTCGCCTTATTCATTCATTTCCCAAACGGGGACAATAACACCTCCCGATGGTCAGGGATCCCATTAAAAAGTGTTCAGCAATCAGCGGTTACTCTTACTCCCTCGTCTTCCTGCTCTGTCAGGGATGGTGCTGTGACAACTGTGACAAACAGCGTCGTGGACCTGGCACAACGTCTGTGTCATCGCACGAATTGAATCCACTGCTGTGTGCATTGCACACTCGCTCTCAAGTTTACAGAAGGAAATGCTGCTCTCTCGCAAACTGGAAAAGCCCAGAGCTCCAGGCAGCTCTGGTTACTAAGAAACCTTCTCCCGGGAGTTTGTGGCAAAGAGGGGCCCACGCTAGAAAGCCCCGTGTGGAGGGAGAGGGGGCAAGGGCTCTGCAGGGCCCGGCGCACAGAGCCACAGCTGCCTGGCGCACTTGGGTTCCGTGTGCCGCCCACACACTCCAGTTACCGTCCTCCCCGAGGGAGGCGTCTGGGCTGGGACACGCCCGGCCCTAGATCCAGCTAGCCCCTCGGACCGGACACTCCAGGCACCCTTCCGGGTGATCCCACCGTTAGATAAAGGAGGTGTCCAGGGGGTGTCTGCATGGACAGTGGGTGCCCTCATGCTGGGCCCCTCCAAACCATGTAAAGAATCCCTGGTCTAGAAGAAAATTCGAAAACCCTGCATTGCTGCGGCTCCCTGCAGGTGTGTGTCAGTTACGTGTCCCAAACACGCCAGAGACTCCCATTGTGTCTTTAGGACAAAACAATGGTAGAAGTGACTCTCATCTGTAATATCTGATGATGTTTTTTTTTAATTTTTACTTACTGATTTGAGAGAGAGAGAGAGAAAAGACAGAAACATTGATTTGTTGTTCCACTTATTTATGCACTCACTGGTTGATTCTTGCAGGTGCCCTGACCGGGGATCGAACCTGCAACCTTGGCGTGTTGGGACAATGCTCTGACCAACTGAGCTACCTGGCCAGGGCTCCAACTGACATTTTTAAAAATATATTTTAGGGCAAAACAAAAACAAAAAATAAAAAATATATACTGCACCGTGTGAAGCCATGTGCATTCATGGCACACACCCTGACTTTGGCCAGCCCTCTTGAAAGCGTGTTTCAGGTGCTGACACGCAGAAATTGCCAAGTGCCACGAGAACCCAGGGACGGGCAGCCCCACGTCTGCCACTCGCCCTGCGGCTGTCCTCAGCCCAGCTGTCACAGGGAAGATCTTGAGAAATAAACGGCAGCCATCCGTTCCGTTAAAAATGACTTACCTAAAGCTGATGACGAATAATAAAATAATGAAACAACCCGCAGATCTAAATGTGTCTAGAAGTGGGGAAGACGGTGAAGAGAGCAGAGACTCTGAATCACTCCGTGCAAAAACACAAAAGCAAGAAACTCTGGAAGAAAATTATTTGCCTCGGAAGCAGCCGCCGCGGCTCGAGGGCCCCCCAGACACACACGCCTTGCCAAGTGCCCGCCGCAGAAGTCAGCCAAGGACACTCGGTTTCGTCTGCCGGATGTACTGACTGGTGTTGAGAACTGGTCTGTTTTCCTCTGTGACAAGTCTCCAGGCACCACAAGCCACACTACCAAAGCCAGGGGCATGGCAGACAGCAGCCCAGGGTCCCTGGGCTGGTCTGCACCCGGGGGACTCCAGCCTCGAGGGACCCCAGCAGAGGAGGGGCTGTGACTTCCACACCAACCCCTTCCCCCCGCACGTCGGCCAGCCAGCCTGTGGTTTCTCTCCTTTTTTATGTGTTTGCACTTCCCATTTGGAACCCACATAGACTTTTCTCTATTGAGAATTTCCTGAATGTTCCAGTACCCCCTGCTCCTCTGAAATAGCCATCCTGAGCTATCTCTTCCCCAGCTAGGTGAGAGGAAAGGGTCCAGGAGCTGACCGGACATTCTGCATGTCCTGCTCCAGTCAAGGTCTTCTTCGGCCACTCCGAGGTCCAGAGGGAGAGGAGACCAAGCACACAGGAAGTCGTCAAGGGTCTGCTTTTCACGTGTGGAAAACCCCAGGTCTGGAGGGGCCTCCGGAGATCACTTTAGTCTCCTCCTTGCCTCTAGGTATGGCCAGATCCAGTGCCAAATAAAACGTTATTGTTCAAAAATGTACTTTAGGGCCCTGGCCGGGTGGCTCAGCTGGTTGGAGCACCGTCTCCATGTACCAAAAGGTCACGGGTTGGATTCCCAGGTCAGAGCACATACCTAGGTTGCAGGTCCGATCCCACTGGGGTGTGTACAGAAGGCAGCCAATTGATAGTTCTCTCTCACATCAATGTCGTTTCCTCTCTCTCTCTCTCTCTCTCCCCCTCCCCCTTCCATTCCTCCCTTCTTCCCTCTCTTCCTCTCTCTCCAAAATCAATAAAACATATCCTCAAGGATTAAAAACAAAATGTAATTTCTGTAAAGCTGAAATTTAAAAACCCACTTTCTGATGACAATATTTGGGGAAATATATTAGAAAGGAGTCCTCTCTCTCTCTCTCTCTCTCTCTCTCTCTCTCATACACACACACACATGCCTTGCTTTGCTAATGCCTTTGACACATGCCCACTTTGTCCAGGGAGTAGCCAGCCACCTAGCTGTCGACCCTTTCTGACCTCTGATCTCTCAGGAAAGGGACTGTCCCTTGCTCACTCTCAGCAGGCGCCCCACAAACTCTTGCCGGGTCACGAAGGAGCCCAGCCCAGCCAGGGGCTGGTCCTCAGGGGTGCTCTCTCCCAGGTGACACCCCAACAAGACAAACACTCCCTGTCCACCTGGTCTGCCCCACTATTGGCCTTGTCCTCCGCCCTGTCACAGCAGATCAGAACAAAACCAGGGAAGGGGGTCACATGCAACTCCTTGGTCGTCCCCGGAGTGGGAAGACCGAAGCGTAGGCCTCCATCTGGCCGGTGCAGCGAGTGCACTCAACCGAGGGGGCAGGTCGGAGTGGCCAGTGTCCCCTCGGTGGCCAAGGGAGCAGAATAACAACATCGGGGTGTGTGATCACTAAAGCAGATAAAAAATGCCAAGGGCACGGAACAGTCTCTAGTGCATTATAAAAGGGAACTAAATGATAGTGGAAACGGGAGAAGTGGTCCCTGCTGTTTAAATAACAGGACCAGCGCCCTGACTGGTGTGGCTCAGTTGGTTGGGCATCGCGCTGCAAAGCAAAGGTCACCAGTTCGATTCCTGGTCAGGGCACACGCCTGGGCTGCAGGTCCAGTCCCCGACTGGGGCACATGCGAGAGGCAACCGATCAACGTTTCTCTCCCTGTCTTCCTCCCTCCCTTCCCCTCTCTCTAAAATAAATAAATAAAATCTTAAATAAATAGCAATAATAGTAATAGTAATAATAACGGGCTAATGGCTCGGTTCACAAAGCCTGTGCTCCCGGAGGCAGAGCAAGGGGACCCCGCGGTCGGTTACCGGCCTCGTCCTCGGCGAAGGAGATGACGAACTTGCTATGGGTGCTGGCCAGCCCTGGGAAGGCGCAGGACGCGGTGTTGCCCAGACAGATATCCTGCTTCTTCCATTTCCTGGTTTTTCTGTCTTCCTGCAAAGCCATAAGCCGACTAGACGGAAAACAAAACCTTACATTTTAGGAATCCATAGTTCCACCCTGCGGCATGTTTTTCCTCCTAGAAGCAACGCATCCTGGAGTACTAAGACCAGGTCTCCCCGAGGGGAGCGGTGACCAGCTCTCCCAAGGCCCCGAAGCTGCCTGACACACACTTCCATCGCCCACCCGCCCCGGATGGGGAAGGTCGTTGGCTATCACCAAGGAGATTGGTGCCCTGGGAACACTGCACCACGACAAAAGGCTAACTTCCAGTTCATTAGTTATGTGACCTTTGGGTAGCTGCTCGATATCTCTGAGCCTCAGCCTTCTCTCCTGTAAAATGGGGAAGGCAAATAGAATTGACCGTAGGCGAGAGCTGGGAAGGTTAAATCACATACATAAATATGTCACACAAGTGCCTGGCATAGAGTAAAGGCTCAAAGACCAGCAGCTATTATGACGATGATGATGTCTACATAACAGGAGGTAGACGCTTTCTGTGCCTCGTTGTCTACTGAATTAAAGGCAGGTTGTCAGAAGAAAGGGGAAAGGAAGTGGGTAAACCACAGGTGTCACCTGAAAAGTACCCAAACAGAGCCCACTGAACCCCAAGTGATTCTAATGCATGTGCTTCCGTTATGAGCCACTGCCTACTGACCAAGCGATACACATAGGGGTGAGTGGGAGGGGGGGGTTGTGGTAAAAGGCATAGAGAACAATGGAACCCCCAAGCTCTAACAAGCGATCAAGGACCTCACCCACTACTCCCTCTCCCCATCTCTGTAAGCAAGAACGGCAGCGTGAAAAAATACTAGCACCACCTGGCTGGCGTAGCTCAGTGGATTGAGCGCGGGCTGAGAACCAAAGTGTCGCAGGTTCGATTCCCAGCCAGGGTACATGCCTGGGTTGCAGGCTATAACCCCCAGCAACCGCACATTGATGTTTCTCTCTCTCTCTCTATCTCCCTCCCTTTCCTCTCTAAAAATAAAGAAATAAAATCTTTAAAAAAAAAAAATACTAGCACCCTGTCCAGCTAGGGTGGGGCAGAGGCACCAGACTTACCCTCCCACCTCAGACAAAAGCCCAGACAAACAGAACGACAATGGGCTAAAAGACAGTGGGGAGCAGGAAGGACTGTGCCCCCCAAGAGACGAGAGACGAAGTCCCAGCCACGCTCCCTTGGGTGAGTTCCCGCAGAGGCAGAGCCCCACAGAACCCTGGAGCTGAAAGGACAGAGAGGAAAGTCCAGCCTCCGCCCAGCTCCCTTGTTCACAAAAACGTCGAAACAAAAAGAGAGGTGTCCCTCCTTCCTCACCCACTCATGAAGTCCCCGAAGATGTAGAGGCCGCTGAGATTCGGGGACTCGCACCCGCGGTAGACATAGCCTCCGGTGACCGACTTCCCCACCTCGTGGTCGTAGGCAAAGATTGGCAGGATGTCATCTGTCTCGGGACAAAGAAACGGCGTGAGTGTCACCGCTCAAAACTGTGTGCTTCTAGGGGCCAGCAGGGGGCTCTTTAAGGGAGTGGCCTGACTGAGTGGAAACCGTTTCATTCCTGGTATTCAGGAGGGCAGGCAACTAAGAGAATCACGTGTGTCGTCCTCAACAGACAAGCCACGAGACGTGTGAACTTCCCACTGAGGAAGCCGAAAACCCCCCACCTGGGAGGCAGGGACCTGCAGGCCCACACACCTGAGATTTTCCCCTGGGGGGTCGAGGCAGATCCCCAGGCCTAAGGATTTGGAAAGCGTTGGAAGGGTCTGCAAGGCTGCGTGGTAACATGCAGGACCAACGAGACTAGGCACCGGCGACAGAGCACAGAACCCTCAGGAACACCTTGATCACTGATGTTTAGGGATGGTACGGTCCATTGATTATATAAGGAATATCGTTTCAGGGGGGCTACCCCAATTAGAAAATAAATAAACACGCAGCCACTGATTTTTCTCGGCCAGCGGTTCTCAAAATAGTATGCCTCAAAGTCCCGTGGGTCACTTATTTACAATGCAGATTCCTGGCTCAGTCTCGCTCCCCGAGTCCACCCTAGACGTTAACAGGGCGATTCTGGCGTCAGGGACAGGAGACCAGCGTAAGTGGCACTATCCCCCAGGACACTTACAGGACCTGCAGGACAGGACAGCCCCAGGTTTTATGCCCCCACCTCCACCGCCTTCAGGAAATGCTCACCCAAAGAGGCATTGCGACAAAGCTTCTCGTCGTAACATTCGAACCCCTCCTTTGCTCTCCAGCCGTAGTTTCCGCCTTTAACAATGATGTTGACCTCTTCAAACCGGTTCTGCCCCACGTCCCCACAGAATATCCGGCCTCGGCCCTGGCGCGTGACCGGGTCCCCGCGGTCCACGGAACAGCGCCACACGTTTCGGATTCCATAGGCGTAGATGGCGGGGTGGGCTCCTGGCTCAGAGACAAAGGGATTGTCCGGGGGGATCCGGTACCGCCTGCCCTCTGCGCCGGTCCCGTTCACATCGATCCGTAACACTTTTCCCAGCAGGGAACTTCTGGAAGGGGGAAGGCCAGACACGAGGCACGGGGTAAGTACGCAGAAGTGGCATTGCTGGGTCACAGGCTAGTTTCTAATTTTTTTTTTTAGGGAGAGAAACATCAATGTGTGGTTGCCTCTCACAAACCCCTACTGAGGACCTGGCCTGCAACCCAGGCATGTGCCCTGACTGGGAATCGAACCAGCAACCCTTTGGTTTGCAGGCCAGCACTCAATCCACTGAGCTATGCCAACCAGGGCCTGTTCCTAATTTTTTAAGGCATCACCTTGCTGGTTCCCATAGAAGCTGCACCGCTTTGCATTCCCACCAACAGCGCCCAAAGCTTCAAATGTCTCCGCATCCTGCCAACACCTGTCTTTTTTAAAAAAATCACAGCCCTCTTAACAGGTGTGAGGTGCGCCATCTCCGTGTGGGTTTGATCTGCGTGTCCCTGCTGGTGAGTGGTGGTGAGCATCTCGTCGCGCACCTGGTGGCCATCTGGGTGCAAGCTGAGCAGGTGCCAGCACAACTAACAACACTGGATTGTACACTTACATTTTTTGAAGGTAAAGCTCATGTTAAGTATTCAAAATTAAAAATAAAATCAAGCAATAAAATAAAATAAAATGGCAGCGGACCAGAGGAGACAGCCCAGAAAGACCTGCTAATAGTTGATGCGTAGCAACTGCTAGGGATCACCTGGGGAGACATGACAATACATGTGTGTACACACACACACACACACACACACATGTACATATGAGATATGAGGACTTCCTGGTTTGCGGTTCAGTGAACCACGAGGCCAACGTGTGATGTAGCTCTGGTCCACGTGACCCTGAGCAAATCGCTTTATTTTTACAGTGAGAAGGTCCCTCTGGGGCTTGGGCTAACACTATGCGCGTTTGCGCGTTTAAAAGGAGCAGGTTCTCTTCCTCCTCACACCGCAGCGTGGTCAGGAGAAAGAATGGGGCTTTCAGAGGCTCCGCCAGCCAGCGCCCGGGTCTCTGGGCCTCGGTTTCCTCGTTTTCCTGGAAAGCGGGGGAGAACAGCGCCGCCTGGTGGTGTGGCTGTGCAACGTAACGGTTAAGAGAGTTGCTGCGAGAGAGCCTGGAACACGGCAGGCGTTGGACCAACCTTAGCTCTTCACGACCCCCATCAACCACGATGTTGTTGCTACGAGGGAGAAGGCAGGGCAGGGTGCCTGCTGGGTGCCAGGGGCGGCCGGGTCACGTGACCTCTGTCCCGCTGGCCCGGCCTCAGTGTCTGAGCGTGAACTCTGGCTCTGCGCCTGCGCGCTGTGTGACCTGGGACAGCTGGCTGCTCTACTGCCCTCTGCCTGCACTGTCTAGTCTGCAAAGGGCTGTCACTGCGCCTACGTAACACACACTTCAAAGGACGCATCTATTTCGGAACCGTTTACGCAGGGACTCCCGTTTACGCCAGGCACCGTTCTCAGCCCTGGGGCTGCACCGGTGAGAACAGATAAAGACGGCTGCCCGTGTGGGCTGTTGGGAGGGCATCCCCAGGTGAACAGCAGGTGCTGAGAGCCGCCCCCGACCAGCGCACGCACCCGGCACACACACCGGCTCTTGCTACCTAACTGTCACGAGTCGCTGGGGCCTGGCGCAGCCCCTGGGGCTCAGCACTTGGTAATCTTGTAGAGCGGAGGTGAACTGGGTGGTCAGAGCTTGGTATACGTACAACGCCCTGATGATATGCGTTAAACACCCTGAATTCATCTCTACAAAATGCTCTGAAAATCACAAGAACATCTGTAATATTAACTACCCGAATATACTATGCCTGAAATACCCTGAACCCCTCCCAAAAATATATGTCCCCCCCACGTGCCTCAACACAGGGACTCATCGTGCAGTAAGTGGTCTGGGTCTGACCCTCTGGAGGCTCCTGCACAGGAGGAAAAGCACCGCCCCAGGGGCTCGCCCTAAGGGCCCAGGACCCAGCAGCCCCCACCCAGCTCACTTGTTCTGAGCGTTGCCAAACTGGCCGAAGGGGTCCCCGGCCTGTCCTCCGTCCCCCGTGAATATGTACAGATAGCCGTCCAGGCCGAAGAGAAGCTGTCCACCATTGTGGTTGGAGGCCGGTTCTTCTATCTCCAGGATGACCCTGGAAGGAGAAAAGGAGTCATGCATTAGGCTTTGATAAAATCTGTGTGCTCTCGAGATGCTCAGAAGCGGCTGGTCCAGACCAGCCGAGACCTGCCTCGGAGTGTCCGAGGATCACACAGAAGGCCGTTCTGGGGCTCTGAGACACCCCTTGTGCCCTCGTACGACCCCTTCATGCATCGTTTTCCTTTCCCGTCGTGACTTCAGGAGACGTGGACACAGCCAGGGGAGCAGCCGTCCTTATCTGAGGCTTGGCCTTCCCCTCTGCTCCACCGGAGCCCTCAGCTCCCTTCCTCAGAGCCAGCCCACGGGGGTTAGTGTATCAGTTCCTCGTGTTCCTTTCAACCCCCGAGCCTGTCTCTGCAGGAACAGAGAGACGGGGCAGAGAGAAGAAGGAAATGAAGCAGGACGGCAGAGTGGAAAGGACGTGAGCTCGGGGTCAGCCGTGAGCCCCGCGTCCGTCCTCTGCGCGTCGGCAGCGAGCTTCCTGCGGCCCGAGAGATCCCGCCTTCGAGGGAGAGGACGCGGGATCTACAGCCGCACCGTCACCGGAGACTGCCGGTTCCTGTGCGTGGATATTGTCTGTCTGTGTCTTTCAAACCACCGCAGCTGCGGGCCTTTGCCGGCCTTCCACCGAGTCGGGCCAGCGTGGCTCCACCTGGGGGACTGACTGCCAGGTGGCCGTGTGACGCCACGAAGGCCCTCGACTCTGAGCCTACCTTGGGCCTCCCTCACGGACCCCCAGTGACGCAACCACCAGCGATCCAAACCGGGGAGAGCTCCCCCACGCCACCTGAGAGGACCCACAGCACTGTCCCAGGACCCGGCGCACCGACACACACCACTCTGCTCACCTTTCTGACGCCGGGTCGGCACGGTTGGGGTCGGCCCGGGAAGCCTTCATCTGGCTAATCCGGACCTTTTCCACCTTCCCCCGGCCCAGGCACGAATAATAAATGTAGAACTTGCGGTTCTGGCGGAATTCGGGGTGAAAAGCCAGCCCCAGGAAGCCTCTCTCGTCCCCGATCCACGGAGTGGTCAGCACGGCGTTCCTGAGGTCCAGGAAGGGCCGTTCCAGGCGGCTCCCGTCGGGCAGGTAGACCCACACTACCCCCACCTGCTCGGCCACGAAGGCGCGGTGGGTGCCGTCCCCGGCGTGGGCCATGCACACGGGGTTCCGCAGCCCATTGGCCGCCTCGGCCAGGCAGAGCTGCAGGCAGCCCCGGCGGCCCCTGGCCACCACGCCCAGGCGGCGATTGAGATGGCCGTTCCTCAGGACGTTCGGGAAGCAGTAGTCCTGGTCAGGGAGGCTGAGGAGGTGGCAGAAGTGGGCGCTGTCATTCCCGTGGGACTCCCGGAGGCCACCGTCGTCGGTCAGCAGGGAGATGGCAGAATGACAGTGGGAGTGGAAGGCGGAGCAGTAGTCAGCGCAGAGGCCCGGGAGGTTCCGGAGGGGCGTCCGAGGGTTCTCGGCGTCGTAGAGGTGGGCCGCGTACGGCGAGCACTCCTGGGAGAGACGGGAGCTCAGTTCCCCACTGTCGGGCTGGCCCCAGCGGGGCTGGTCCCAGTGTTTTTTTTTTGTTGTTGTTGTTGTTAGTCTTTTTCTTTTTTTAACCCTCACCCCAGGATATGTCTACTGACTTTTAGAGAGAGAGGAAGGGAGAGAAACATCAATGTGAGAGAGAAAAATTGATCAGTTGCCTCCCGTAGGTGCACAATCGAACACACAACCCAGGCTTGTGCCCTGACCAGGGATCGAACCCTCAGTCTTTTGGGATATGGGACAACGCTCCAACCAACTGAGCCACCCGGCCAGGGCTGGTCCCAGTTTTTGAGCAAGCAGAAGGGAAAACAGTCTGGGAAAAGATCAGGATTCTGGAGTTCCTATGACCAACTGCTGGGACCCTAAGTTTCCATCCAGTTAATCTCCTGGAAGCAGAAAGGGAGGAAAAATCTCTCCTATTCTCCCTGCAGCCGTAACACTTTAACTTGGTTCTTGACACATAAAGTTTTATTGTGATGAACTTTTTTAAAAAAAGAGATAGTACCAAATTGCTCCATCTTTCCCTTCATTACAAGTGCTGGGTCTGTGAGACTTGACTTCTTTGTACAAATCTGAGGCAACGTGGCCGAAGTTTCACATTCGTTAAATCTGAGCATGGAATCCATGGTATGAATGATGTCATTTTCTGCACATCTCCACATGTTTGAAATATTTTATAATTTAAATATAAAATGATCAATCCCTGGCTGGCGTAGCTCAGTGGATTGAGCGCGGGCTGTGAACCAAAGTGTCGCAGGTTCGATTCCCAGTCAGGGCACATGCCTGGGTTGCAGGCCATGACCCCCAGCAACCGCACATTGATGTTTCTCTCTCTCTATCTCCCTCCCTTCTCTCTAAAAATTAATAAATAAAATCTTTAAAAATAAATAAATAAAATGATCAAAATGAACACGTGATTTGTCTATGGCTCCCAGAGATTAGGTCTCCAGTAATTTCATCACTTATTTCTTAAAAATATTTCGGTGTTTAATGGACATAAACACTGCTGGGAGCTACAAGAATTTAGTGGATCCTCCTGGGCGAAGGATCCCCTGCTCTGCAGACCTCCCTGAGCCACAGCAAGTTTTAGAGAATAAGGAGAATGCAGTGGGGAGACAAGCAGTTCCCACCAGCGAAGGAAGACAGATGCGACTGAGACAGCAAAGTGCACAAGGCCCGTTGAAAGGGCGGGGCCTGGGGCTGCTGAGTAGCGATCACCAATCTCTGACATCTCCCCCAGCCCGACGGCCGGCACAGGATGGCCCATGGTCTCATCACTTAACAAAGGACCCGGTACATTGTTTCCCGTATGTGTCAAGTTCCCCATTGTCTCGTATTTCCACCCTGAGTGCAGACTGCGGAGCCAGCACCTGGGTACTGGCCCAGCACCTGGGTACTGTGAGGAGGGGAAGGAACAGCCCAGCAATTCACAGCACTGAGTTCAGGGTATTTGTCAGAACTGCTGGCAAGGAAGCAAACCGCACCCTGACCAGTGGGTGGCTCAGTTGGTTAGAGCAACGTCCTGATAGGTCAGGGTTGTGGGTTTGATCCCTGGTCAGGGCACATACAAGAATCCGCCAATGAATGCATATATAAGTGGAACAACAAATCTATATTTCTCTCTCTCTCTCTAATTGAAATTTTAAAAAGGCAAAGCCAGTTGCTTCAGCTCACTGAGTCATTTCTCTTAGGAAACTAAGGCCAGGCACTGTTCCACTCTCTAGAGTTGCGCAGGGAGCCGGAGGCGGGGTTCTGAGTTCAAGCACACCGGCCCCAGAGTCAGAGACCACTAAGTAAATGCCTGACTGGCCTTTGGAATGGGGGTTATTAAAGGGGCGCGGGACTCGGGGAGTCAGCCTTTAGCTTGGGGCCCCACACGGCATTGCTGGACCTCGGACAAGCCCGTGAACACCTCTGACTCCTCGTCAGTAAAACGCGGGTCCTGGCAGCTGCCTGCCGTCAGCGCTGAGGACACTCTCACTACCTGGGGTGGGGGTAGGGGGGAGTACAGAGAAGGACCGCCTTTTTTAATAAACACGTGCGGGTTGATCTGGTTCTTCAAGTCCGCACAACAGGGGAGCCCTGAGGAATCGGGCTTTCCGAAGCCTCACCCAGTCCTAAACCCTCCCCAGGGGAGGGGCAGGGGGGACAGGCACATTTTCACCAGGAGAACCCTCAGCGTTGTCGCAGAGCCCAGCCAGTTCTGCCCAAAGGGCTCTCCCAGCGTCAGTTCTCCAGGAAACAGCCAGGGCTGGTGCCGAGGAGACAGAGTGCGGCCCCAGGCGATGCCACCCAGGCGGCTGGCTCCCGTGCCCGGCTCCGCTGCGTTCCCTGTGCGGATGGCTGGGGTGGCCCCTGCACTCTGGGGCCCGTGGCAGCCGGGCGGCCGAGTCACCACGGGGACGCTCAGGAGGGGCTCCAACCCCGGTCTGCCTGGGTGTCCTGCGTCTCACCCCCAGTCCGTCGTCGGAGAGCTGCTTCTCCCCATGGCCACTTTCCCATCAGCTCTGCAGCGCTGACAGTGGCCCCCTGTCCCCGAACCCATGTTCCCACAATGCCGGGGTGTGTGGCCTGCACCCGGGGTGAGTGATACCTGCCAGGGAGGTGGGTTCTGGCTGCTGGGGAGCCGCCGGAGCAGAACTTCTGAGTCACCGCACTCAGCCGCTGCAAGCTCTCCCAGCCCAGCTCTGGAAGAATGCAGGGGGTGGGGGGAGCCCCCAGCTGTGGCTGCTGCTGTTGTCACAGCAGGATCCCCAGCACCCAAGACCCAGGCCCTGGACCCTGGTAGAGCCCACCACTCCGCGGTGCACCACGCACACACCCCGCATACACCCCGCAGGTGGGTGCTGGGCCCAGCTCCTGGGGTGAGGCAGGGAGGACCCAGGCCACAGCTGCGCTGGGCGCATCACCAAGAACAGACTACTGGCTCCTTCTCCCGTGTCCCAGAGAGCAGCAGCGGGGCCAGCAGGACCCGAGGGAGAGCTTGGGGGACCAGTGACACCACGCTCAGCAGGTCCTTGCCCCCAGGGGTCCATCCAGAGCCCAGAGCTCTAAGGGAGGGAGGCAGCTGGCAGCTGAGCTTCTGAAAGTCTGGGTGCCCAAGGAGCCCTCCTCCCCAGGCCCCCGGCCACCCTCCCAGCACCCTGGCCGCTGGGCTGGAAGGCACTTTTCTAAGCTGGCTCCTTCCCGTCTCTCGGGGTAACTTTTTTACTCTCTGGCCTACCTGGCAAAGGATGTCTCTGATGTAACTGCCACACAGCTCCTGGCCCTGCGGGTCCAAGTAGCCCATGATGCTGTGGTACCGCACGGCGATGCGCTGGTCCTTGCGCCGGTCACAGCAGCCAAAGGACTCGTAGTGGGAACAGAACTCGAGGTGCAGGGCGGGCCGGAAGGGTGGCCTGTAGTCCAGGCACTGGGGGTGCCCCTGTAGCCAGCCCACCTGGTCCAGCAAGAGTGCGAGGCAGAGGCAGAAAGTGCCAGAAGGGGTCCGGAGCCAGGGGCCTTGCCCGCCCTGACCACCCCCAGGAGCAGATCTCCCGGGCATTGGCATTCTGGCCAGGGCACCTCTCAGCCTGCCGTTTGCTCTGGTTGGCTTCCCTGCTCTGGGCTAACTCCCGCCTTCTTCCCCAAACTCCCCCCGCCCCGCACCCCGGGTTTTCTTCCTTCCTTCTCTGCCCCCCTCACCAAGTTCACGGAGGTGGCTAACGAGCAGTGTCCCTTCCGTGGGCTGGGGAGCCAAGTGTCTCCCGTGGAAGAAGTGAGAGGTGTCCCTGTCCCCTCCAATTCCTGACTCCTGAAGCTGGCCAGGTCCAGGCACCTCCCGCTGACTTAGGGTGTGCACGGCTGGCTGTTCGGCAATCAGGACCTACGCAATGAATTAGGTCCTGTGATTCACTCAAGTGGCGAGCATTCCTGCAAGAGCAGGAAGTTCAGGCTGTGTTTGCAGTTTCTTCCCAAGTCCAGCTCCAGGAATAAGAACACAGGTTTCCGCAGCCCAGACATCAGGCTGTGGAAGCCCAGGTTCAAGGGCTCCCAGAGCTCAGCGGCCCCCGGGGACTTGGGGTGGATCTGGGAACACAGCAGGGAGCTGGGGGCAGGCAGTGTAACTGCCTGGTCCTGGGGTCGGGGAAGTCTGTGTTCGGAGTGGGGGGAAAGCAGGACGTTTCATGATGGAAATACTAGGTCCCTGAGCTCACTTTCCTTCTGGCACTTTCCGAGCTTCCAGTCCACCCGGAAAAGTTCTCGATGGCAACAACCTCCCTCTGAAATGCACAGGAGACAGAAGGTTCTTCTGAGCCCAGGTGGGCCTTCCGAGGGGGGCTTCCCGCCGGCTCCCCCACTCACCCCACAGACGAGGACTCATCGAGGCCACACGGAGCCTCCACCGAGCCACATCTGCACTCAGAATGCTCTGGATTGGGAAAGCCCCCGGTGGCATTTAAAAAACACAAACCTTTTTGTAACTAAGAGAAAAGCCAGGAGGAGGGAGCAGTTAGAACCATCACCAACTCGGCCCTGCTCTCCTGTGTGGACTGCTCGATAACCGACCTCCCTGAACGTGGCTTTGCAGAACACGACACAGCAGCCGTGGCCTGGGGGCTGGGCTGTCTGCACGGGTTCTTTGCTCCAAGGTCACACAATGTCATCGCCGTGGGAGCCTTGGGCCGGAGGAGAAGCACTGGTCTAACGTGGGCCGGTGAATGCACAGCACCGTCACCTCTCAGGAATGGGAGTAACCCCTTCCCTCTGAGAAGTACTTTTTTTTTAACTTTTTTAAAGATTTTATTTATTTATTTTTAGACAGGGAAGGGAGGGAGAAAAAGAGAGAGAGAGAGAAACATCAATGTGCGGTTGCTGGGGGCCGTGGCCTGCGACCCAAGTATGTGCCCTGACTGGGAATCGAACCTGCAATGCTTTGGTTTGCAGCCCGCGCTCAATCCACTGAGCTACACCAGCCAGGGCGAGAAGTACTGTTTGATCTCTGTTACATTTATGCCTCAGTTTCCCCTTTGCCATGCCCAACAGTGAGTCCAAAAGGAATGCCTTTTTCAGAAAATAATTCTAAATGGGTCCGTTTACAGAACTGTGGCACATACTAAACAAGCAAGCAAAGAACAACATGGCCATAATAAAACATAAATCTTTCTGTCTACCCAGGACGTGTAAGATCAAACTTGATCTTACTGCTTTGGGCAGAGTGATTACAAAGTTAGCAGGAAAGGCCAGCCAGCAGGCCCCTCAGAGCAACAGCATGAGTTTCTGACTATTGAAATATGAAATACTTCAGATGGGACTACATAATATCCAGTTTTAATGACACATTACATATGATTATATAACAGTTACGCAATAATTCTTTTTCACAATCGATGACTCTGTTGGTTTGGTAGGTAGTATTCTCCTGTGCAAAGTCTCGTGCTGGAGGAGGAGTGTTTAACAGAACACGGATACAGAAAGAAAACTTTTTCAAGGAGTTTATGCCCTGAGAAAGGGGTTCACGTAGGCATCTGATACAAGGCACAGTGTGGTGAGACAAGGAGGACCAGACTGCCGCCAGGGATTCTGAGGAGACGGCGATGACGTCGGCTGGAGGGTTCTCGGAAAATCCGGGTGAAGGCCGGGTGGGGTGCTGAGACAAGGCCCGGGTGGGCGCGCGGACAGAAAGCACGTTTTGCCTGAGGTCTGGTGGCTGTAGGAGGCGAGCCTGGAACCGCCAGCTGGGACCGGATCGTGTACCTGCGCTCGCTTGAACTCCTACTTCTGAAGCAAATACAGTGGTTCCTTTTTAAACAGTGACTGCATTAGTTTGCTAGGGCTGCTGTAACAAAACAGCACAACCCGGGCGGCCCGAACAACAGGAAGCTGTTGTCTCGTGCTCCAGAGGCCCTAGGTCTAAGGTCTGGGTGCCAGCTGGGTGGGCTCCTTCCCAGGGCCATGCCTCCGTCCTGGCTGGTCTGGTGGGGGGTCTGCGGGCAGGCCGTATCCGGCACTCCTCGCGGCCTGTGGAAGCACCCGCCCAGTTTCCGACTCTGTGCCGCGTGCTGTCCTCCCTGTGCACGCGTCTGCGTCTAGACTTGCCCTTTCATCAGGGCGGCGGTCACACGGGGTTGAGGCCCAACTGGACGGTTTCATTTTAACTCGGTTACCTCTGCAAAGGCTCTGTCTCCAAACACAGCCACAGGCTGGGGTGCTCGGGGTTAGGACTTCAACAACTCTTTTGGGGGGGGTGTACAGGTCAATGCACGGTGGCCACACCCCCAGGGGAGGGGTTGGAGGGCGGGTGAAACAGGTGGAGGGGACTGAGACGTGGACCGGCAGTTACAGAAACAGTCACGGGGACCTCAAGTACAGCCGAGGGGACGCAGTCGGCAATACCGCGGTAACCCCGCGTGGTGTCCGGCAGGTACTAGACTCACCGGGTGCCCACTTCAGAAGGTATGTAGCAGTTTAATGACTGTGCCTTCCACCTGACACTAACATTGCACATCAACTGTCACTGAGAAATGAATTTTAAACAAATGTATGAAAATAACACTTGCAGCACACGGAAGGGCTGCCGTCCAGCTGCGAGCTCTGCACGCTGTAACTGCTGACGGAGCTGGGAGCCGGCCCAGGTGGGCCGAGCGGAGCGTGCACCTGGGAACCTTCCTGGCTGGGGTCGGGGCTGGTGCCAGCACCTGCCAGCTGTGACCCTGGGCAGGTCACTCCGTCTTTTTGAGGGCCCGGCCTCCTCTCTCGGCAAGACAGGGGTGATCCACAGGGTTTGTGGGGGTGACGTGACGCAATGCAAAGCCCGCAGTACTTGGTGAGTGTGAGGGATCACCACCCAGGAAGCTGGCTCTCTCTCTAGAGGACCTGAAAACACTCAGTTCGGGATTCACACCGCCCTTGGTGTAGTCAGGCACAACACCGGACACGGGCCTGCCCCGTCGGGTTCCAGCTGTCGCCTGGTGTACTCTGGTCCCCGTGGGCACCCGCTTGTCTCATGCGTATATTGTAAGTTTGGGTGCTTATCTGTTGATAGTCACTTCTTACTAAATATAGAGTATTGAATTAAATCACTGACGAGGCACAGTGTGTCCCCCAGTTTCTCGCAGACGGTTTAAGATCAGTGGGAGTATCAGCCAGTGGGGAGAACACAAGGCGCACCACTAAATAGTGGACTTCCTCTTGAGTCGTGAGACTCCAGGAAACTCGGGACACCAGTTCTCTGCACAGGGAATCATCTGCACCTGCTCTCACTCCACCGGTTTTCTCAGGATGCTGTGCAGCTGCTCCGCCCACATTCCTGGCAGTCCTTCCTGACGCGTTGCCCTGGGACCTGGTGCGGTGTGGCCCTGGGACACATTCCTCCTCAGTCTCCTCCCACCGGCCAGCTGCCTGCTGTGCTTCCTGGCTTCCAGGAGGAAGGAGGGCCCACGGGTGGCCGGGAGCCTGCCTTCAGGCTGCGATGCCGGCCCGCCCTCCAGAGCCACGGGCACCTCCCCCTCCCCTTCCGTGGGGCCGCCCAGCCCCACACTGCCCCGCCTCACACAGCAAGAGAAAGGGAGGCGTCCGCTCTGAACCCTCCTGTTTCCCAAGCCCCTCAACAGAACTTGGCACCCAAACATTCTTCACGACGGCAAAGCTAATGTGGGTCTTTAGAGCCTAAAAGAATCAAATTCACGGAACAGTATCACAGGTACATTTCGTTACACAAAGTCAGGCAAATTACATGCAAATAACAGAGACTGCTGTGGAGGTATATTCTCCAATTAAAGAAATAAATATTTTTATTGAAGATTATTCCTTAATAAATGCTACATATAACAGTACAAAAAAGGAAAAAACACTTATTTACAAAGAGTAGAGGTAGTGAGACTGTTTGTCCAGCTATAAATAATAGTAAACATAAATACAAAAATAAAGTTATTTTATAGCCATATAAAAAACTATCTTCTTAAAATACCCAATAAATACATTCGATAATTATCTATGGAGCTACAACGCTGTAGCCACTAATCTGAAATAACTTAAATTCAACATCAGAGTCCTGAATTTACGATACTGTATTTTTTCACCAACTTCTTTATCCGCTTCATTTTCTTCCTCAAAGCTTGATGGTCTTGTTTTGAAATATACCGAAAATATCGACAACCTAAAAAAAAAAAAGAAAAACAGTTTTAATACTGACCAAACGCTTCCGACACGTTTCTGCATTTTTAGTGCTGCTCCGATCCCGGCGCACGGGACTGTGGGACCAGAGTGCCCGGCGCCCCCGGCCCGAGGGGCCCAGGGCACGCTCACAGGGCCTGGCCAGTGGACAGCACGGCTCCCTGCCCGCGAGGACGCTTCTGACCCACCCAAGTTCAAGCGCACACGGGGGCCTGTTTCCTGCCCTGCTCCCCCCACAGCCCTAACTCGGGGGATACGCGCATTACGCACACTCATGAGTTAAACGAGCCTTCTCCAGAAGCAAACTACTGCTGACCCCTCCCTCTCAGCGCCAGTTTCCGAAGCAGCAAAAGAGGCATCTAGACCACAACAGTGAGGAAGCTCTCTGCAGAAGACCCTGACGTGACGTGAAGGATCACACACATCACAGGCTGGAATAGACCGGCCATGACCCGGTCCTTCCAGCCTGGCGAGCGGCTGGACCGCAATCATGCGGCTCTGCCGGGACGCCCAGCGCATGCGCGTCAGAAGGTCCGTTCCGGTCCTCTGCCTATTTTCTAAGTGGACTGTTTATTTTTTTTTAAGATTTTATTTATTTATTTTTAGAGAGGGAAGGGAGGGAGAAAGAGAGAGAGAGAAACATCAATGTGTGGTTGCTGGGGGCCGTGGCCTGCAACCCAGGCATGTGCCCTGACTGGGAATCGAACCTGTGACACTTTGGTTCGCAGCCCGCGCTCAATCCACTGAGCTACGCCAGCCAGGGCTGGACTGTTTAGTTGTAGCGCTGTGTGTGTGTGTGTTTAGGATAACAGCCCCTCGCCAGAGGCGTCCTCTGCAAACAGGGACAGGTGGAGGCTCCGAGGGTGGACCACTCGGCTGAAGGGACGTGGAAAGTTCGGGACGGAACTGGAAAAGGAACTGGGTCTTGGGACTCTGCCCGGACCCAGACACTTCAGGGGGCGGGCCTGGAGACCTCCAGCTCCCAGCGAGGAGGGAATCGCGGCTCACATCCCGTTTCTGCTCCTTGTTCTCCGAGTACCAGAGAGAAACCTTACGGTCACTTCCTGCCTGTTCGCCTCTTTCCTCCTGCAAAGCCAGCATCTGCGAGACCCCAGGAGCCACCTGGAACAGTCGCTGACAGTACGGACTCCAAACTGATGGAAACCTCGTCGCAAAGTGACCCGAAGACTCCCTGTAACAGACTTCGCACTCGAACAAGGACCTGCGTGCTCGCAGTCACCGCACGGCCCACGCTGCTCGCCTCTGAACGTGCTCCGTCCGCAGCCTCACCCACACGCCGCGGTGCAGAGCAAGCGAGGGTGCGAACAGGCTACGTGCTCCGCACAGGAAGCACCGGCTTCCCTGGCTTGCGCAGCATTCTTAAATTACTAGGAGAGAGACTTCTTCTTAAGTGAAAATGCTTCATCCTTGCAGGCACAGGTAAATAAATACAATACAAAGCTGTTATGAAACATTAAGGCCAGTAAAGCCCATTTCCCTGGATCTAATACAGCAGACGACCCCAGGAGACCTTGTGCACAGCACAGCCAACGGCCGTTGGCTGCGGAAGCAGCCTGCACCTCTGTCCTCCCGGCCCTGCGGGCGCTCGAGTCAGAGCTGAGCGCCAACCGCAGCCAACGGCACAGCACCCCTGCTGCTCACACACACACGGGGCTTCCCACCCACGGACGGCCTGGCCCCTGCCCAGGACTCTTCTGTCTGTCCACCAGTTTCTCTACGCAGCAGCTGTTTCTCTAGCATCTAACGTCCACATGTCCTGCACTAGGTGCGCTGCCAGACGGACGGATGGTTGCACTCTGTGATCTCAAAGTCCTCCCAAGGCGACGTCCCGAGGACATGACGGCAGAGACACGCACCAACGTCCCGAGGACGAGACGACAGAGACACGCACCAACGTCCCGAGGACGAGACGACAGAGACACGCACCAACGTCCCGAGGACGAGACGACAGAGACACGCACCAACGTCCCGAGGACGAGACGACAGAGACACGCACCAACGTCCCGAGGACATGACGACAGAGACACGCACCTCTGCCCAGCAGCGTGCCCGCCACGAAGGCTTTCTCCTGAGCCAGAGCTCTGTCCTCCGTCCAGTCGCCTCTCGCCCGGAAGGAGCTGAAGTGAAAGCCGGGCCACCAGTTCTTCCTGGAAGTCCACTGCTCGAGCACCCAGGCGAGATGGTTTCTGGGAAAGGAAACGCCAGGCACAAGGTCAAGGACGGAGACAGAGCTCCACGGCCAGGACATGACCTCGAGAGTCTGCGGAGCGACGACAAGAAGACGTCTCCCAGCCCCCGTCTGGGCCCGGCCTCCACAGAGCACAGGCCGGAGTGAGCTCTGCCAGCTGTCTGTCTGCTTGCCTGCCTGTCTGTCTCCGGGTCCCACTGCAGCTTGGCTGAGCAGCCAGTCAGCTGAGCGCCTGGGCAACAGCACGGGCCACAAAGTCCAGGTCCTGGGCACCCACCTCAGACCCCCCACGCTCCCTCCGCCGGGTGGCCCTGGCCACGCGCACGCGGGCGCACCTCTCAGAGCTGCGTGGGTCCCCCGAGGGGAGGGTGTGACCGGCACCACCTCGCAGCACTGTCACCGGGGTTACCTGGGCCGGAGGTGTGGCGGCCTCAGACAGAGCCCTTGGCATGCTCTCTGGCGCATGGTACATGTTCCCTAAATGTTAGCCTTTATTAGTAATTAAAAGTTACTTCAAAACCTTATTTTAAATTACACGTTACAGAAAATTACCGTCCACATTCAGATGCCGTTACCACCCACATGCACGAACACACAGGGTCGACAGCCGCACTGGCCAATGCCGAGTGCTCGTCAGTCACCGGACTGAGCCAACACATACTGGGGACCCACCCGGCAGAGCTCCCAGGGTCAAACAAGGGACGGCACAGCCCTCGGCCTCCAAGAACTCTGTGGTCAGCAGGGGTTCAGACAGGGCGTTAGGCCTGTGAAACGGCTTACTGTGGGCACATCAACACATCACACCAGAAACATTTTATAATCGGCTCGGTTCTGACTCCAGGGTCGGGTCAGATCTGAGGCCTGAAACCCATTCCCACCGATAACGAACTTCCTAACCAACTAAAAATGGATACAATTGGAAAAAAACTTTTTTCATATCCTTTCTTCTCACCAAGTGAAAACGACAAGTTCTGCCTTGTCGTTTGGTACCGGGAGTAATGGTACCAGGAGTGGTACCATCAGTACTAGTGCCACCCTTTTCCTGAAACGTGGCACCAGGGGCATCGTGATCAGAGGTGTCACCTCAGACGCCCAGCTCGAGGTGCACCCACCTGGTCAGTGTCCTCCGGATACAACCCGCGATGGTCTCTGGAGGCCCCGCATCCACTGGGAGCAGCTCGGGAAGCGGCTGGGGGGAGAGCTGCCCCCCGAGACCCGAGGCCGTGACGACACGCGGACCCCAACGAGCTTCCCGGGGGCCTCGCAGGGTGGGAGGGGCCCGTCCGTCCTCCCTCCCAACTGGAAAACCCACACCTTCCCTAGCAGTGTGGCGGGGCCGACTTTGCTAGCGTAGAAAAATCTTGACAGAATTGCGCAGGTCGTACTTGTGACTTGGTGCGTGCTTGCTTCCGAGGGACTCGGAAGACAGCAGCAGCGCCCACAGCTCGAGACACCCAAACCCACGGGCAGAGGACGCTACCTGAAAACTGACATCGACGTCAGCGGTAATTCTGGGAAACGTGACTGATGCTGATGCAGTGATAAACAAACGCTGTGTGTCTCTTACTCACCCCGTTAAGGTCTGTCTGAGACACTTTGCCAAGTACTGCCAAGCGGTCCTGTTCTTAGTGCACCCCGCGAAATCCAGGACACCGAACAGCACCTCCAGGCCCAGCTTGCGGTGCTCCTCTCGCTCTGTAACGGTCACAGTGATTAGGGGCGGCACCGCAAGGCACGGGAGCGCGCAGAGCTGAAACAATACATCCGGTCGGTGAACGCTGCTGAAGCATGAGCCCTCCAGGTCGGTTAACGGACTACTCCAGTCCCCTGCCTCCTACGCTCCGGTGGTGAATCCGAAAAGCTCAGTAATTCAGTCCACGCTCCTCCAGTTGGAGTGCCGAGTCTGATCTCCACGCGGGTTGCACTGCTGAACCCGTGAGTCAGGGTGGTCAGCGCACCCCTATGCCCACAGTCCAAACTCCCTAACTGCTATTTTAAGATTTTATTTATTCGCTTTGAGAGAGAGGGAAAGGGAAGGAGGAAGAGAGGGAGAGAAACATTGATGTGTGAGAGGTACATCGACTGGTTGCCTCTCACACAGTCCCAACTGGGGGCCTGGCCCGCAACCCCGGCATGTGCCCTGACTGGGAATCGAACCAGGGACCTTTCCGTTCACAGGCTGGCGCTCCGTCCACTGAGCCACCCCAGCCAGGGTCCACGTCTACCTTTTGAGTCCCCAAACACTTAACTACGAATGGCCTACTATTAACCAGAAGCTGTACCAATAACACACATTTTGTCTGTTCTATGTATTATATCCTGTGTTCTTACAGCACAGCAAGCTAGAGAAAAGAAAATACTATTAAACATAAGGAAGAGAAAATGCTTTTACAGGAGTCACTGAAAAAACTCCGAGTATCAGTGGACCCACAGAGTTCGAGCCCATGTTGTCCAAGGGCCCACTGCACCCAGCGAGGGCACCATTCGAAGAAGCCGCCCCGCTCGGGCAGTTCCCGCGCGTCCCCTCCCTGGGCGGAGGCACCGGCACAGGCTCAGCGCCGGTCGGCTCGGGCTGCTTTCCCCCCAGAGAGGACATGGCTCGTCCACACGGAGCCGCGGCGCAGCAGTGGTTATAAACGAGGCAGACCACACAAAGGAAAGCCCTTTCTCTCCTGCTGACTGTGGCCCGACGTCCTACAGCAGGAGTCAGCGAACTGTCCTGCGACGGGCCAGACGGTAAATATGTAAGCTCTGAGCCACGGGGTTTCTGTCACGACTAAGGGGCTCTGCTGCCCTGAGCAGAAGCAGCCGCGGCCGACGCGCCAGTGAGTGGGCGTGGCTGTGCGCCAGTGGAACCCGATTCACAGGACAGGTGGGTGGGGGTCTGCTGGCACCCCCGCCACCCCCACCCCAGTCCACAGCCTGGCTACAGCAAAGAGATTTAAAACACATGTGACTTACCTGATTTCCTCAGTAATCTATGGAATTCTAACATCAGCTTATGAGATGGTACAATCTGATACAAAATCTGAAAGAAAGAGTAATTTTGTCAAATTCACACATGCAAAAGGCACTTCTCAAATTTCAGCTTACTCTCCAATAAAGTTCTTACCGTCAAACAGACCCTCAGTGAATGACTCACAGGCTTCACACATGCTCTGCTTCTATCCAGTTCCAATCTGGGTATAGAAAGTGTTCTACCTACAGCTGTTTTTTTAAAAAAATCCCCGATAACAACCAGATAATCAGAGGAGGGGTGAAGAATGTGGAAATTCTTTTATTTTCTCCTCATGTGTTTTTTATGCTGTCTACTACACTTACAGATGTAATTTCTTTTGGAAGCCAGGACGGAGGAGATGCAGGGGGAGGTCGGCACCACGCAGAGCGGCCGCGTGACGCGTGCTGGTCACGGAGACGCGCGAGGCCGCGCTCTGGGACGCGGCGCGGCAGGGACACGTGAGGACGTGTTTTCACAGCCGCTCCACACAACAGAGAGACACTAAAGGTGTTTCCTCTCAGAAACAGAAAGGACTATTTTTGTTTATATGCTAAAAACAGAATTTAAAGTAAAATTCTATTTCTCATCCTAACACATTTAAATACTAAAAATGAATTCATTCCCTCTGCTTGCTGAGATTCTTTGACTTTACACTGATATAATTTCCTTTAAAACAAAAAGTAACTCTTTAAATTTTTTTCTTCTAAACAGCTTTTTAAAAGGAGATCAATCAAGATCAATATACCAATAACTGAGAATATTATTAAAACTTGGTTCTTACAAAATCACATTAAGTCTTATATATAGAATTCTATATATGGTTGAATTCACTTAGGTTGTTCAAAAACCTTTTGTTTAAATATAGTATGTAATAGACATGTTACAAGTTATGAGTGTGTCATTCAATAAATATTTACAAAGCTATACACACTTATGTAATCAGCAAGCAGACCAAGAAAACAGAACATCACCAGAACTCCAGAAATCTTTTGTCAGTTTTACAAAATTCTTAGACATGAGCTCTTCAAACGCTGGCTTCTGTCTGTCTGTGCGCGTCTGACTGTCGGCTTTGGCCCCGTTCCCTCTCGCCCCCCGCCCCCCCACCCCCGCAGTGCCCCTCCCACGGCGCCAACCGAGCCGGACCTTCGCGCCGAGTCCTTCACACACTCCCCTGGTCCTTCTCGTCCTTTTTCCCTGTCCATGCGTCACCCTGGTGTGTTCCATGCAGCTCATCAACCCTTTCTTCTGTTACGTGCAACCGCTAGTGAACTCACCACTGAGTTCTTAACTTCAAACGCTGCAGCTTCCAGAAGGAAAAACCGAGTTTCTCCAAGCCCGCCTGGTCTGGAAGGCAAGGCCGCGTCCAACACAGCTCCTTTCTGTCGGACACACACGGTCGGCTGGTTTTCCAGAGAGTGGCCGACGCAGGTTGGGGGGAAAGGACGGTCTTTCCCACAAACACGGCTGCAACCATCGCACAAAAAACAACGGACCTTGATCCTGCCCCCCGCTGCACCAACAACTCCGCTGAAAAACCATACATCTAAGCATAAACCGTAACGCTTCTAGCACCCAGCACAGAAGAGAACCTTCATGAGCTTGGGTAGGCAAAGATTTCTGAGACAAAAAGTACTAGTCATTAAAAAGTAATTAGAAAAGAAACATGCATTAACTATACTTTGTCAAAATAATAAATAATGTTTTAAATAAGACATAGAAATATCCAACTGGCATATTAAAAAGATGCTCCGCAGCTATTAGGGAATTAGTCATTAGGGAAATGCAGACTGAAACCACAAAGAGACACCACCACAACATAGAGTGGCTATAATTCAAAAAGAGTGACAAAACCTAGTGTTGGCAAAGATGTGGAGAAACTGGTCTTTTGTCTACTGACAATGAGAAGGTCAATGGTACAGTCACTTCAGAAAATAGTCGGGCAGTTTCTTAAGTGGTCACACATATACTTCCTGGCAAGTCCGCTCTTAGGCAGATACCCAAGAAAAGCGAAAATATATCTGCACGCAAAGACTTCTACATGAGTGTTCGTAGCAGCATTCCTGATAGCCACGAGTGAAAAAAAACAACGTCCACCAAAGAGAGAATGTATGAAATGGAATTCTACTCAGCAATAATGAGGAACAAGTACTTGGACACTAGCACAGATGAATCTCAAAAACCTTACACTGAGCAAGAAAAGCCAGGCGAGAAAGGAGTGCACCCGGTACGACTGCACTTCCGTGACATTCTAGAAGGGGCCGATCCAGTCGGTGGGGGCAGAAAGCCCACCGAACAGATCAGGCAGGAAGGGGCTGCCTGGGGCCCGGAGGGGGTGGACCAGCCGCAGAGCAAACTACGGGACTTTCCAGACGGTCGGAAATGCTCCGAGTTTTGGGTATCGTGGTGGTTACGTGGGTGCATGTATTTGTTCAAGTGCCTCTAAGCGTACACTTAGAATACGTGTGTTATTGCACATAAACTTCACTACCGGTGACTTTTAAACAAACAGCGATGCGGGACGTTCCGAGCGCTGCAGCGCCGACGAAAGCTGGACAGCGTGAACTGACACACTCCCACGCGGACCCCCGGCCCCGTCGGAACGCTGACCGGACCCCCAATCCCCATCCCAGCTGACGACCCCGCCCCGCCGAACACTGACCAGACCCTCAATCCCCATCCGAACGCTGACCAGATCCCCAGCACCGGCGGAACGCGGACTGGAAGTCCCCCGGCCCCGTCGTAACGCTAACCGGAAGTCCCCCGGCCCCAGCGGAACGCGGACCGGAAGTCCCCCAGCCCCGCTGGAACGCGAACCGGAAGTCCCCCGGCCCCGGCGGAAAGCGAACCGGAAGTCCCCCGGCCCCGCTGGAACACGGGCCGGAAGTCCCCCAGCCCCGCTGGAACGCGGACTGGAAGTCCCCCGGCCCCGTCGTAACGCTAACCGGAAGTCCCCCAGCCCCGGCGGAACGCGGACCGGAAGTCCCATACCCTCAGCACACTGATCAGCTGCTCCCTGGGAGCCTTCTGCCTCTTCAGGAAGCCGTACAAGTACACGTGCGCGTTCGGGTTCGACGGGAACTTCTCGTCGTAGGCGTAATTCGTGAGGACCTCGCGGGCTCCTTCGCGGTCCCCGTAGAACTCCAGCATCTGCGGAACAAGACGCACTCCCTCAGCGGCCCCTGTAACACCACGGCTGCGTGAGGGGTGACGCCCAGCTCACTGACGGGTGCCAGGGTGTCACGGGGCTGGAGGACAGCCTCTGCCGCCTGGGGCCGGGAGGCAGGCCGGCCTCCGCTCCCACCGGCGCAGTGCCCCCACCACAACCTCTACGGGGCACAGACGTCACCCACGACCCAGGCCCACGTGGGTCCCTGCTCTTTCCCTGTCGTACCCTGTTCCTGAGAAGCGCAGCAACCACACCGAAGCGCTGTCCTGTGAGCAGCGCAGCGCTCGACGGGGAGCGTGTGACAACGGAGGACCTCAGGCCGTCCGGGACTGCAGCCACAGAAGGCGGGCGCGGCAGCTGCTGCTCCTCTCACCTCACCCCACCCGTCCCGGGAACTCCCAGACCCACCAGCATTTGGGTGCACGGATCATCTTCCGACAACCCCATCATCATCATCGCTTCAGCACCGTGAACCGTGCAAAAGGCAAACTGTTTAGACAGTTTATTCCCAGCGCCCAGAGCCAAGGCCCCTCCGCTGCTTCACAATGACCGAGCAACCGGACATCCCCACGGACGTCCTCAAAGCCGTCCTCCATCCCACACACTGTGACCTAATTTCGGATCTCTGTCTCCTTCCCACTCCACTCCACCCCATCGGATCATAAACGATCCTTCTGCATTTCCTTCAAGCTCAGGAAGGATAACACAGAGTTGACATTTACAACAAGATCACTATTTATTGTACAAATACTTGGCTATAACACATTATCCAGTGGTAAAAATAAACACAAAGTCACATTTACAGAATACTACTATGGACAAAAGTTATTCAGACCAAAAAAGATACATCTTATTTTTTAAACAATTTTTAAGCATTTTAGTTTCCTTCTGATCCATAGAGATAAGGCCTAAATGAAACTCATAAAACTTCATGAAAAGTCTACTCACCTCCACATAACTCTTCACAAAGGGGTCCCAGACTCCAGGAACCTGAATGAGCGAACGGAAGTCCGTGGAGGTCTTCCAGCTGTGGTCGAGCATGCTCTGCGACGCGGCGCTGTAGGCGTAATCATCCTGGTCTGCTCGAAGACAGAGGGTTTTGAGAGTCATCCAGTGTCACAGACTCCCGCCGAATCAGCCATCAGCAACTGCCCACGGGAAAAGCTCAGGACCTGAGGGCTCTGCTGGTGAATTATAACAAATAAAGAGTAACACTAACTCTTCAAAACCTCATCCCCCTAAAAAAGGTAACAGCAATGGATGCATAGCTCTGTGTGCATGTCCTACAAAGCACCCAACTGTACGCTTTTAGTGGGTGAACTGTAGTCAGAATCACATCTCGGTTTTCAATAAAGCTGTCTTTTTAAAAAAATATGCGAGGTCACCACACCTTACAACCTGGGCGACATGAAAAATCTGGCAGTAGCGTATATTAGAGAGATTACAGGCAAAAGAAAACCCTGATGAGACTCCCCGTGGAATGTGAATCGGAAACCACCTTGGAAAGGGTTCAGCCTATTCTACACTGAAGCTGAAAATGCACATACCCCGTGACAACGATTCTACTTCTGGAAACATACACCTATGGGGAACAGTATACATGCCCGAAAATTTGAGGCGTTATCCATAGTAGCCAAAAACTGCTAATCACCTACATGACCATCAATATACAGAAGGAATAAACTGTATGACCGTCATACAATGAAATGTTTTAAAAACGAATGTTAAACAAAATGCACAAACAGGACACTGGGAGGCAGGCCGCCCTCACTGCATGGCCTACAGACACGCCCCAGAGTGGGCAGTGTTGTGAAAAGCAAGGGCGTGGCTGCAAGGAAAGCCAGGACAGGATTCCCGGAGACAGGACGGGGGGGGCCTTCTGCAGAGTGTGCTCCTGAATCCGGGTGGGGATTACATGGACGTTTGTTTCAGAATTGTTCATTCCGTCACACATCTGTTTTATACACTTTTTCTGTAAACGTCAGGTCCTCAAATGACACCCTGCATTCAACGCCGTTCCATTACAGTGTTGATGACATGCCACAGGAACTCAACTCTTGTTCACGTCAATCAGCCCAGGGTAAAACTGGGTTTGCTACCTGTCATTTCACTGAAGTCACAGCACCTGTATCAACAGCGTTAAGTGGGGACTTTCTGCATGTCATATTTCACAGTCTTACAGTTCTAAAAAGAAAGTTACTCAGTCTTTCAAAAGCAGTAGCTAAGAGAAGACCAAAGCACTTTGGGGGACCACTGCTACTTTTTAGCCAATAAGTAACCCTCGCCAAAAAAAAAGAGAGACCTCCCTGGTGGACCACCGAATGAATACCAACGCAGACGGGAAATGAGGTGGTAGGGGAAAGTAGGCAAGGAATGACAGAGAAAACATGTTAAAGACAAAGGCAGATCCCCGAGGAAGCATGAGCTGGGTGGAACCCAGCTGGGTGGAAGGGGGTCCCCAGTCACAAGCGCATCAAACCCAACCAGGGCGGCCCAGGAGCCACGGGGACCTGTTCCCAGCCAGCTGGGGGCAGACACCCACGTGTTTCGTTCTGACGAGCTTGGCTACATGAACCCAGCCCAAACTTGGCTCTGTTACACAGGCACCTGAGGTCGGGAGTCACCCGAGGAGCTCCACGCGTCATCCCGTCCTCACCCCCTGCCGCCCCAGGACACCGCACCAGCCGCAGGGAGGTGCTGAGTCACTGGTCCGTGGAGGGGGCCTGAGGCAGGCCAGGTCCCAGCTGCTTTCACTGTCAAATATTTACTTCGGTTCTGCCTGACCGTGTGTAAGAAGTAAACATTGACTTTAAAACTTACCTAGCCAACATCAGCAAGCCTTTAAAAAATATCGCAGCAGGCGTTATGGCAAGTTAACTAAAGAGAGAGAGGACAGATGTGTGACCTCAAAAGACAGACTGCTGTAGACTAGGAGATACACAGGACAGAACTCAGAACAATGAGGAAGCAAGAGACGAAGAACCAAACGATACAGGCTGGACATGGGGCCACCCTAAGAGGGTGAAGGGATGAGAACACGGGTCCAGGGAGTGCGGAGGGCAGAGGGCATTCTGGGTAAGGAGACTGCACAGAGCCCTTCCCAGGTTACTGGGATGCAGGGGGCAGTTCAGAAGTATCTTGGGAGAGGGAGAAACTAGGGAGAGGGAAGGGAATCTTGAGGTTAGCAAAAGCCGGGACCCAAGACCAAGGCAGCACTGCTCATCTCAGAAGCCTCACCAGGAAGCGCTGCTCAGCCCACAGGACATGGTCGGCACCAGGTCTGAGACCTGGCGCAGGAGGAGAACGTAACAAGAACGGGGTTAACCCCAGAGCAGCGACCGAGACACACCAAACAACAGAGAGAAAGCACAGGGAGCCCACAGCTCCAAAGATGACAAACGGGCTGGCACAGGGCACCTCCCCACGGAAACGGTCAGAGCAGGGGACTCCGTGTGAGGACACACAGTCAGTCAATCAAGAAAACCGTCTATTACAACCTCTGTGCAGAGTGGAACGACTTCACCTTGCGCTGTACTGTAGACAGAGTATTCTGAGAAACAACACAGTAAAACGCACTAAACCCCATTCTAAACCCACGAGAAACACTGAGTACATGCAATAATGCCTGCTGACAAAAATGATCATCCTTCTCGGAATTATGTTTAAAAAAAGCAATGCATCTAAAATGGTCAACTTAATTTGTGTGATTTTTGTCTGAGAGTTCCCTGATCCATCAGACACGTAAAGGATGATGATCAAGAATTTTACATCCGTGGAAATGTCTGTTCTCGGGAGTCTCTGGGAAAAGCTCGGCGGGGGGACTGGGTGCCCCCCTCCCCCAGAGCCCGTGACTCAGCCGCATGGCCACAGGGAAAGCTCGCTCGGACACTCACCGAGCCGGGACAGCTCCACCTTCTTCTCTGACCAGGTGTAGTACCGCAGCAGCCCTTTGTAGGCCTGGACCAGGCTGATCAGCACCTCCTGGGAAGCGGACTTGTCACCGTAGCGCCATGTCTCCGCCTGGCTGAGGTTTCTGCTGGCGTCGTCAAGCAGCCCGTGGTGCACGAGGTACAGCGCGTGCTGCAAGGAGATCTGCAAGGGCAATGAGGAAAGGCCCTTGACCTTCAGGTCCTTACACAGCCATTCGTCAGAAAGTTTGGTCAACACGTGGTACTTGCTGGGCTGAGACCTTGCTAGCACACCAGTGATCCTACAACACTGTCCCTGTCATCAAAAGTTTCAATCTGCCCCGGCTGGTGTGGCTCAGTGGATTGAGTGCCGGCCTGCAAACCAAAGGGTTGCTGGTTCGATCCCTGGTCAGGGCACATGCCTGGGTTGTGGGCCGGGTCCCCCGTTGGGGGCACTCAAGAAACAACCACACACTGATGTTTCTCTCCCTCTCTTTCTCCCTCCCTTCCCCACTCCCAAAAATAAATAAAATATATATATATATATTATTTTTTTAATTTCAATCTAGCCAAGAGGAAACACAGCGGAAACAACACGACGTGAATGAGAAATTATGTAAGCTCACAGAGAGAAGGCAGCAGGATCCAGGGGAAAGAACCTTGGCTCTGCAGACAGTGTCCTGGCTCGGACGCTACGCAAAAGCCACGCAAATAGAAGGCACAGGGTGGCTGCCGAGGGCTGAGGGCGGTCCAAGGGCACGAAGGCCCACTATGAGACGAGCAAGTACCGGGGACCGACGGTGCGGTAGGCTAACCGCAGCTGATGATGCTGAACTGCACACTCCACAGCTGCGGTGAGAGCAGAGCTTCGATGTTCTCCGCGTCACACCCCCAACAGAAGGGTGATCATGTGCGGTGAAGGGCGCGCCCATCACCTTATTGCGCTAACTCTCACACTGTCCTGCAGCAAAGCATTGCACTGTACCCAGTAAACTTATGCAACGTTATATGTCGATTACACCTCAATAAAGTGGGGGAAAATGTTTTCACGTACTCAAATTCCCAATCTGTTTAGCTCTACCCTTTCCCAAAAGCGCCAATTCCTAGAGAGCTCAGAGGACTTAGGCAAAGGGTGAGGACGTGGCCCATCGCCATACCGCACACAGGTGCCATCTCCGAAAAACGGGTTCTGGTGCCAGAGACACACACAGCAGACGGCATTTCACTCGGAGAGCAAGGCAGGGAGTGGAAATGCAGAAGTATACAGTCCTCACAACACCGCTTCCTTTCCGGGTCTCTTATTCACCCGGGAGCCTTACCTTTCCGTCCCTGCCTTTCGCCCACTCCCTCTCACCACCGGGACCAGCGACTCTGCCGCCAGAGCGCCGCGCAGGCGCAGTCACGGAGCCGCATCCTCACCTTTAAGTAATTCATCACGCCGATATTCTTCATCCTGTCAGCAAAGGCGCTGAAAGTCTCCACGTTGCTTTTGGGATGGTAATAGAGAATTTCACTTCCGAGTTTCCAAATAATCTGTCAAAACAGAAATTACTAACAAAAATGTAAAATCCATGCTTTAACCAATGTCTAAGAAAAGCACTTTTTCGTGATTACAACACTAAAGAGCAACCCGTAATTTCCTTTCCTCCACACCACTCCCACCAGCATTGTACTGCGCTTCACACAGCGAGACTAACATTGTATCACACGTGACACAATCTTTCCCAGCAACTGAATCAAAGTTCCAGATAACTCTAACAGTGCCATTTTTAACTTAGTAGTCTAAAAAGGTGGGCAATTAAGATACACACTGATGATAAAAATTTTTAACCAGGAAGAAAATAAAAAAACTTGGGTTCTATTAATATTGCTTCTTCATTGCTCTTGGTCTCGTCTTTATTATCTGCAAACCAAGGGCCACAGACTAGACACTGCCTGCGACCTCAACCAGCTTCATTAGCACCGACTCTATGTAATTTAGATGGAGAACTCCAATTTGAGAACTGTTATCAGCCACAGACAAATGTTGATGAGATATATTTTCTCCCCAGGGCAGCAAAACTTTGGTGACAGAGACTGGAGCTCTTCTTTTTCATGGAAATGAGAGAGAGAGACATCAGGGCCACGGGTGCAGGACTGGGAATCTCTAGCACAGAGACGAAAGATAAGGCTGTGAAAGGGACAGCGATCGCCCGAGTGAGTTCGGGTGCAGAAGACTAAGGCCTGAGTGCTGGCCCAGGAAGAGGAGCAGCGAGAGGGGGAGCCAGAGGAGCGGCCAGCGAGGCAGGAGAGGAAACGGAGGGAGCCTCGTGTCCTGGAAGCCAGGTGCCAGTGCATCACACAGGAGGCGATGACCTCCGGCCAACAGGTCGAGTTCGGTGAGCACTAGAACCGCCACTGGATTTAGCAACACGGAGAACCGCTGACCTTGACAGAGCCTTTGGGGAAATGGGGACCCTGGAGGTCGGGGAGGCCTAACTGGACAGTGTTTGGAGAGAACAGGTTCACACACACTCTTTCAAGGAGCTCTGCTGAGCGGGAGAGTGGAAAAACGGAGCAGAGCCGATGGAGGAAGAGGGGTCAGAATGATTTTAAGACGGATAAGTAACCTGTTTCCCTTCATCCTAGAGAGAGGGGAAAATAATCACAAGGGGGAAAATGAATTATCAGGATAAATAAATCAGTGTTAGGGAAATCTGAGAATTCAGAATTCAAACTATCTTTAGTCTCCTTTAAAATCACAGTAAGTAATAAGAGTGTGCAAAATAATGTCCCAATACAAACGCTCCGTCTAAAAATACTTTTAAATCAATTTGAGACCCTATAACAGCTGTTCCGGGTGGAGCTCAGGAGGCTGAAACGCCCAAACACCGGTGATCCCTCCAGCGGACTCACACCTCACTGACCTCGGGCGCAGCCTGCCTTTTGTTGCTGTCTGAGTCCTCCAAGATCTGAAAGTAACTGTGCATGTATTCGGCCGCTCGCTGCCACTGGTGCTTCAGCAGAGCTTCCTGGATGAAGCTTAAACAGGCGCTTGTTGTCTGAGCAAACTCCTTCTGCTTTCTCCCTCCAGTCGCTACAAAGGTTAAAGAGTAGAGTCTTTAAACCTTGTGCATTAATTAGCAGAAATAAGAGAAGAAAGAAATTATTATTGCTCCAACACTCACTATGCCAGAGGCTCTATGCCAGGAACTTAACATGTTATCTTATTGTTTTTCTCATATATTTCAGTCATTAAAAGTCTGAGCTCTGAGCACTGGTGGGTGTGGCTCAGAGGACTGAGTGCTGGCTTGTGAATCGAAAGGTTGCTGGTTTGATTCCTGGTCAGAGCACAAGCCTGGGTTGTAGACCAAGACCCCAGATGGGGGCGTGTGAGAGAGGCAACCACACACTGATGTTTCTCTCCCTCGCTTTCACCCCCCTTCCCCTCTAAATACAAAATAAAATCTAAAAAAAAAAAAATTATGGGCTTTGAGATAGATGTGGCTTTGACTCCTGAGACCAGCACTTAAAGACCTATTTGAGATTCTGTTTCCTCACCTTGAAAATGCCTAGCCAAAGAATTACTGAGGACGTACTGATACAATTACAGGAGATGAGATTTAGATCAAAAGATAAAGAAATAGGAGCTAAAGTCTAGATAGAACTAAGGGGAAAGCAGTGTTTGAAACCTTGCTTCCCAGTAACTGTCTCAGTTTGGGCTCAAATAAACTCTTCTAAAAGCTCTTTACAGTTCTGGATGTTTCTTATGTCAACAACAACTTCAGATTGAAGCTACCATTACATAAGTGTGCTGCACTGCAAAGAAATGAGTCATTTTCACTTGTAAGTTAGCATTTTACTAGGGGCTAATTATTTTCAAATACCCTGTTTTCTCTTTCTAAGTTTGGATACTTTAGGACACAGAACGTTAAAGAAAAAAGGAACTAAAGATGATCTTATAAAGGAAACTAATTTGCACAAGGTCAAAGGTTAGGACACGTGGGCGACTCACAGGTTTTCTTCACCCTTCACCCCATGACCTATGTTATTTTACTAGAAAGAGTAACTGCTCTGTATTTACAGAGCCTGGTACTGGGACTCCCGCTGAACATGTTCTCAATCTGGTACCTTTTCTTTTCCATTTAATTAATTTTTTTTTCCTCTCTCATCAAGCAAGAAAAAAAACCCCACCTATAACCCATCAGCCATGAAAGGGGGGTGGGGAGAGAGGGTCAAGTTAAGAAAGAGGAATTTGCGGGCAATCAGGAAAGTGCTGGTTCAAATGCATTCCCTGAACCACACCGTCCAGCAGGCCAACACACAGATCATCACTTCTTTTACATGTCCTTATACGGGGTTTATCCCAGAGAACCGTGTTTATAGTCACATCAGATGGAAATGGGAGGAAATTTCCCGCTTTCAAAATCTGTTCTAGACTAATTCTATCAGGAATTATTTCAATGCAATTCAACAGCAACTTCTTGAAAATACCTCCTAGGTACATACTCCTCGATGCTAGAGATCACATCTTCATCTACATAGCCCCACCAGTTAGCCAATGCCAGGGATGTAATAAGCTCTCAGAAAAAAAAAAAAAGTGTTATGTACCATAATATAGACTGTTATCAATTGGAAGGAAAAGAATTCTAAAAGAAATAAGAGAAGAACCTACTTTTTAATTATTTCTTTTTGGCTACAGCATACGAAACCCTCATGTATCTTACTGCTATCCTGAAAAGTGAACCACCCTGGTTCTTCATTTTGTGTCCACACTAAACCTGATCTCTTGCGCTGAAGGCAAACGGTGGTACGCTGTCTCACTTACCCACACTCTCTACAAGCTTTTGCAGCCACGGAAAATGCATTCCTGAACCGGAGCCCACTCTCAGTTCCCCTGGGCCATCCTCCGTCCTGGGCCTTAGCAAGTCTTCGCTGAAATCACTCATACCTGTTTCAAAATGAGAATATCAGTCACTTTCTGCGCATCTCAATCCACAGCCTTCTGAGGTATACAGAAAGACAGATGTTTTTAAATCTAGTGTACATTACCTGATCAGCAAAATTAATTGTACTGGTAGTTCCTTCAAAAAACAAATGTATGTCAGCAACAGCCAAAATAAATGATCCATTCAAAAAAGACAAATGTTACATTTCAAGAAAACACAACGATAAGTATGTCCTCTTGCTTTAAAACAGTAACGAAAAGAAAACCCAACTCAAGTCTAGAGAAACAGCAAAATAATGCAAAATAACAAAACAGTACAATGATAATAGTAATACTAGCTACAATTTACTGGCCCTTCTATATCCACCAGGCACATAAATCACCTAATTTAATCCGTACAGACATCCTATGATTTTCTTCCATTTTCATGCTGAAAAAACAGAAGGGTTTAGGGAGGTAATGTCACCCGGCCCAACCTCAGCAAGGTGAGGACAATATTCTATGTCCGACGGTTCACTACAGTATAGGTCCTGCTGAAACTGCCTTCCCTGTTCTCCACAATCCTACACCGCTACCCTCGTTCGGGACACCTCCAAGTTGGGTCTAGGTTACTGCATCAGCTTTGTACCTAGTGACCCTGCCTCAAATTTAGCTACTTCACATCGGAGCCAGCGTGAATCATCTAAAATCAAATTCTATGGTTAGAAGCATGGGTTTTAAATAGCACAGGAATTTAAATCCCATGCACGTGTGTTTTACGCAATGCTTAAAGAAGCCGCTCTTCGTTCCCAAATTCTCGAAAACTACAGAGGTGTCACGCATGTACCACGTTAGGCAAAGCGTTGCCACCCTGGTGCCTCCTTCTCAGAACTGGAGGAAGGGCGCATCAGGAGACAATGCCGGGACAACACGGGTGAACGCTAGCGTGCCCCTTCGGGTTCCGCTCTGACTGCCCGCAGTGACTGATGGCCCACACCCGCGGCCCCTACCTGCCCAAAGCCGGACCCCTTCCGCACCGCTAAAGCTGGGATCGTGGGTCTGGCGCGGCCGGCGCAACCACCGGAAGCGGCGTTAGCGACTGCTGCGTGTGAGCATGCGCAAAATCCGCTCCGACTCTCAGGCGGCGTGTAGACACAGCTGCGACCCTAACTTCCGCCGCGCGGACCCAGCTGCGACCCTAACTTCCGCCGCGCAGCCGTCTACGTCCCGGACTCGACCCCCACTTCCCCTAGCGCCGTTTCCCTCCGCCCTAAGTAACCCGGAAGTGACCGCGAACTGCCGCCCTCCCTTTGCGTTCGCTCCAGATTTAATCGTAGTCTATCGCAGTCGGGAAAATGGGAGGCTTTATTTGCTAATGGATGTTGGGGCGACGGGAGGGCAAGTGGATGAGGTGAAGAGTCAAAAAGCAGAATGCCACTTTAGCCCAGAATTCACCTTTAGGTTTTTGTTTGGCTGGTGGTCCAGGCAAAATAAATCTGCATAGCCTTTTACTTATTTCCTTGGAGTCACTTTTCTCTTGTATCAAAATGTAGCTTTGAATGTAGGTGACCCTTGACTACATCCCCCAAGTTTGGGCAGGAATTTTTTTCCTCTCAGCAAGGGAATCCCTGACATCAGAAGCGTTGACAAACTTCTTACGAAATAGAGGTGGAAAGTGAGATGGCTAAATGTGCAGTATTGGAAAGTGGAGCTCCAGGGAAGAGGATCCAGGAAAAGCAGAGACCGATGGAAACACAGTATCTGTGTCCAAAGTTTGGAGCGTCTATCTGAGAAAGAAGGGTCAGACTGCCTTTCCAAAGCCTCCAAGGTAACAGAGCGAGGACTAAGGAGTGGACGTTAAAGGGAAGCAGCGCTACAGTCTTTACGAGAATTGTGAAAGGCTGCACAGATCATGGCAAAGGCTGCCGCAGGAATCTTGGGAGTTTCCCCGACCCAGAAAGCGAACCGTTGAGCAGAATCCGGTATTGCAGAGCTGACTGAAGAGTCTGCTAAGAGTTTGTACAGGAATTCCTCTAAAGGCTGCAAATACTTGATTCTCTGTTGTCCTCATAAACACCATGCAGTAGCCATGAGCTTGCAAGAAAAATTCCCTCTGCTGTTGCTGTGTCCGAGGTCCCTGGCCTCACTCCAGCCTGTGCTCTGACTCTACTGTCAAATCTGATCTAGAGGACCATGGAGTTCCAAGAAGACACAAATAAAATAACACAGACATGGGTTTTCAGTCTAAAGGCTCGGTATGGCTACATTTCTTCCCTTGCCATGAAGTATAATTTCACCCAAACCAACCCAGAACTGATTTTACATGGCGAGAAATTCATGCTCTCACCAAAATGGTGAAGACATTTCTGATTTACTGTAACATTTCTTAGACAACTCTAGATAACAGTAGGGAAAAGAGAGTAAGTTCAGAACAAATATCTTTATACTTGTATGCCCTACCTACCCCTTCCCTTTCCCACAGTACAATTTTGGTAGAAAATGTGCTAGGTGAGGAGAGTAAAAATAAAATGACTATACTATATCACATCCAATGCCGTAAATAAGACAAAGAAACAGCACCACAAAAACAGTATAAAACAAAACAAAGCATGCAGAAGGCTTTCTAGACTCCGTTGTAGAAGAAAACATGCTGAGGAACAAGGACTTCCTTACAATTCCATTGAAGAACAACAATATAATTACTACATATTTTAAAGCTGGAGACTTCTTTAGAGAATATTATTTCCATGAAACCCTTCGCTCATTCCCTGCAATCTCATAAAGAACATGCTTCAGACAACCAAACGACTGGAGAGACATAGTCTATGTTACACCACAGCTAATAATACAAACAAGATTTTAAAAGGAATGTGGCAAAATGAAAGCATAAAACCAAACACAACCCTGCCTGGGTTGGCCCAGTTACTTGGAGCGCCCTCCCAATGCGCCAGGGTTTCAGGTTTGACCCAGGGTCAGGGCACCTACCAGAAGCAGCTGGTGGGTGGGTAAGTGGGTGGAGCCACAATCAATGTTTCTCTCTCTCAAATCAATAAATAAAATTTAAAAAGGAACAAAAACAGATCACATAACACAGAGAAAAATATCCAACTATATACACCTGACTTAGACTTGAGGAAAAAAAACACATATTCTCGAAGGCTCAGCTTCATTGTTTTGCCCGTTTGGCTCCCTGAGCCACCATGTTAAAAGGTCCAGGCCATCCTGCTGCAGAGAAAGGCCACGTGGAGAGAGAAGATGCAACAGCACATGGAAGAGACCACGTGGAGCCAACAGTCAGCATCTTCATTCTACACACAAGAGGAGGAGCTTCTCAGAACTCGCAGCTCAAATCAGTCACTTGTACCACAGCATGAGTGTCACCTCCAGACCACGACACTTGGAGGAGAGGAGAGCTATTCTCACTGAACTATGCGCACATTCCTGACTCACAAAACTGCGAGCAAGGAAACAGTGGTGACAAGCTGCGGGATTCTGGAGTTGTGTGTTACACCGCTGTAGATAACCGCAACAGGACATGCAAAATTTGCATCTTCCATTTTTTTCCTCCATCAGCCTTGTTACAGATTACCAGTCTATTTATGCTGTGGTCAAAAAAACAAACTTTGTGAAGTGTCAACATTTTTTTTTAACTTAAAGACTCATTTTACTGCCCTGAATAAGGGACGTTTTGGTAAATGTTCCATGGGTACTGGAAAAGAACACATGTTCTGTGGTTGTTGAGCAGTGTGTCCTATGACATCAGTGAGGTTAACGTGCATAACGGTTTTGTTCAGATCTTCTATATCATTACCAATTTTTCATAGAATAATACTGTTAGTTACTGAGATAAGGGTGTTGCCATTGCAAATTGTGTTTGTGGATTTGTCTCTTCCTTTACTTTTGTTAGCTCTTCCTTCACACAGTTTGAAGTTTTGTTACTGAGCACATAAACATTTCCGGTTCTTATGTCTTCCTGATGTAGTCATCACTGTATTGTTATGAACTATTCTTTTGTCTCTGATAACACGCTTCATCCCGAAGTGAAATTCACCAGGCAGTAATATAGTCATTGAAGCTTCTGAGTTTACAGTTTGCACGGTATATCTTTTTCCATCTTTCTACTTTCAGCCTAACTCTGTTTTTATTTTATGTGCTTCCCTCGTCAATAGGAGTTAGTTGCTTTTATGCTTTTAATCCAATCTGACCATCTCTACTTTTCATTGGTGTGTTGTATTAATTCATATCAACTGTAATAATGGATAGTGTTGAAACTGCCTCTATCATTGTGATACTGTTTCCAGTTTGTTCCACTATTTTGTGTTCCTCTGGTCTTCACTTCATGCCATTTGGGGAGTTAATCAAATGTTTTAGTATTCCATTTGAATTCTTCTGTTGCCTTTTAGCTATATCTTTTTGCATGACTGTTTAGCGGTGTTTCTAGGAATTACGATATGCATTCTTAAATTATCAACCACTTAAAGTTCCAATTGTGACACTTCACTGAAATAAAGGGGCCTTGCCACAGATAGTCCCATTTACTGCCACCCCAAGTCCTTCTGTGCTTTGTCTTATATGTTACATTTACATTCATTATTATTTTGCTTTAAACAGTCATATGTACTTGAAAGAAATTAAGAGAAGAAAAATATATGTATTGCCTTTTATATTGACCTGTGCTTTGCCATTTCCAGTGCTTTCCTTCCTTCCAGTAGTTCATCTTCAAAAACAGCTGCCAGCAATTCTTCCTATTCCTGTGTGTGGAAGGTGCTTCTCGCATTAAGAGGGAGGGTCTGTTCCTCCCACCCCTGTGCCTTGAATCTGGGCAGGTCCTCTGACTTGCTCTGATGGAAAACCATGGTAACAGTGATGCCATGCCAGTTCTACATGTAGGCCTTAAGAAGCCTTGCATTTTCTTCTTTTATTCTCCAGGAATTCAGCCAGCAAGTAAAGAAGTCTGGGCTGGGTTGCTGAACAATGAAAACCGTCTGGAGAGAGAGAGGCCTATCCCAGTCATTTCAGCCGCCACGTCTGTGCCACCAGACACATGAATGACGTTGCAGCCCCAGCCAGTCCTGCCGGCCGAATGGAGCAGCCACCACACACGTGACCTTGGCCAACAACCCTCAGGTCTGAAGAATCACCCACTGAAGTCCAGCCAAGGCGTAGAATAGGAAGAAATAATAAGAAATTATTGTTTTAAACCACTACATTTATGACATAGTAAAGGATAACTAAAACCCCGGGTCTCAGTTTCCATCAGGTGTGCCGTCTTTCATCCGGAGGAATTTTTTGTAACATTGCTTACAATGCAGACCTGTTGGTGTTGCATAATCTCAGCTTGTGTTGATCTGAAGGATATGTAGTCCCCTAAAGAGCCAGCAGAGCCAGAAACACTTGCCTAAATCAGTAGCGTGCTCTGGTCTATTACTTAACTGTGACTGTGTTTTCCTACATGCATTCATGTTGTTTTATTATCCATTTAAATGTCATTCCCGGTTTCTTTGTGTTTGTCAAGAATAGTTAAATGTGTGTGAGATAATTGTGAAGAATAAAAGCATGACTAGTATTTAGTGACTAAGAGTGTAATGATGATTGTAGCTCATACTTTTCATTAAGAGCTTCAGGTTCATCTGAAATGGCAATGAAACGCTCAGATATCCCAACAATAACTTCAATTTCTGATCACAAACAAACAAAAAATGTGGGGGTTTTGCTAAAACCACCATCCTTTCTCCTTCCACAGACTTTCCAAAACAGGCTTGCCAAAAATATTTTAAATTCTAAAACACATTTTTTAGCTTTCTTTCTCTAAAATACGTATATGCAAAATAATGTGCAGACATCTACAAATATATGGTATGGATCTGGTGTAAAGTTTTAATCCTTGCGGTTTTTTTTTAAGATATTTTCTCTCCTAATTTTTTAAAAGATTTTATTTATTTACTTTTAGAGAGAGGGGAAGGGAGAGAGAAAGAGAGGGAGAGTAACATTAAAGTGTGAGAGATACATCAATCAGTTGCCTCTGGCATGCCCCCATCTGGGGACTTAGCCTGCAATTCAGGCATGTGTCCTGACTGGGAATCGAACCGGCGCAATCAACCCACTGAGCCACACTAGCCAGGGCTAATCCTTGCTTTCTTGAGCTGTGCTATCTTTAAATGTGCCTAGTCTGAATTGGTATATGCTATAAGTATAAAACACACACCAGATTTCCAAAAAAATAAAGAACATAAAATGTCTCATTAATAATGTTATAATGACTACAAATTGAAATAGTAATATTTTTTATATATTGGGTTAAATAAAATGTAGGACTAAAATGAATTTCATCTGATTTGTTTTATCTTTCTAATGTGACTTGTAGAAAATTTAAATTTGTAGCTGGCATTTTATTGCTATTGAACAGTATTGTTCTAGAGAGTCAGTGAGAAATAGGGAAATATCAGATTTAGATCCTTTATTTAATCATTCTGGTTTGATGTCATTCATTCATCCTCTTATGTATTCCATACCATTTCCTATCCTATGCAGATTTAAATTGGAATGAGCTTTTATATTTACAGGGAACTCTTACTTTTTCTGTACGTAATTGCTTGATATCTACATTTAAGTAGTCTTCATAATGCTATTTATATTTCTGTTCCTGATTTTATACTGAATATATCAATTAAAATGTTGTGGATTTAGAAGCTTTGCTTTGTCTGGATGTGTGATTTGTCAACAGGTGGGCTGTGATTGGGAGGATGTTGCTTGCCACCCCAACTTTTAGTAAGAAAGGAAGGGTCCAGGGCAGGTACGATCTAAAAATATCCCCCTGTGACAAAGTCATCGGTTTGCTGAGACTCTTGTTGCATCATCAACCATCCCTGCTGGCTAAGAGCCAGATATGTTGCTGTTTAATTTTTTAAACAACATAAATGGGCAACCTTTAATATGTGACCTTACTTGCTTTCTAAAGAAACACTGTGACATGTCAACATTAGCCCCAATTGTATAGATGTGGGATCTGAGACACAGAGAAATCAATGACTTGCCTGAGGTCACACAATTAGGCTTCTGATGCCTAGCCTAATTCTTTTGACTGCATTCCCTGCTTTTGTTCTTGTCCTGTTAGGAAATAATTCATATCTGAACGCAGTGGTGGGTAAAGCCAGTCTACCCCTGCGGAAATTGAGTTGTGTAGGCCCCGCCCTGGAATTTGCTCTGCATCTGTCTCCAAGCACCAAATATTTGATTTCTGTGAAAACAGTGCCAAGGTAAATTGGGTAGAACCGGAAACAGGAACTTATACTTACACGTAAGCCTATATATTAGCAGCAATTTCAGTTGTTTGAGTTTCTTTCTTTCTACAATAGAAATAGGGACATTGGCCAAGGCTAGACAAATAGTACATGCTGATAGAAGACCTTGCCTTATATATGACTCACTCCCAGTAGAACATACCCTTTGGCATGGCTTTTAATCGTGGGGAAGGATTTAACCCACTGGCCATGCTTTACACAAAACTGCATTCTCCTTGGCTTTCAGAACAGGATACCTGCTTAAAGTTCACTTTAGTTTTGTGATCTCTTTACTTACATTCTGTTAGCTTTCTGTCTTTGACTCGACTCAGTCTGAACTCATGCGATTGGTTTTCACAATCTGACTTACCCAGCCACCCAAACTCACCTCCCACTATTCTTTAGGTCTCCTTACTGTCCTTTAACCATTTCTTTCTGCTCTCTCTTGTTTTATGCTGCTTTCTTCACCTGCCCTTTCCTTTCTTTTAAGAATCTAAATCCTACTTAACTCACCAAGACCTAACTCAAATCCTATCCCTGTCTCATATACTTTCCTCCTTCTTTGAATGTGGGGGAGCTCTGTCCAGCAGACCCCTCACTGCACCCCATCTACCACAGATGAGAATAATTCTACCAAGACATGATCTGCTTGGGGAGGAAAGGTAGTCAATCTCTCAAAGGAGAAGGGCCTTGAGCCTGCCTCAATGGACTTTTATTGGATTCAATTTGCATAAGAATACAGGTAAAGCTCATCAATCATTGTCAGGCAGTAATGATCAAACAATAGATAACATTCAAAGAACTATGAGGGCTTATTCTGAGTCAGGGTCACTAGCAAAAGGGCCATACAACTGGGAAACAAACTCATTTTATGCTTGGACCCTTATCAGAAAACTGAGCAATTCTGGGCAAAGCAGTTTTCACAGGATTTTATGCATTCTTTCTTAGGCCTGATCCTGCCCAGGGCTGTCCCATCCTCTGACATTGTTTCAGGCTTAAAGCAGGCAGGGGAAGTCAGGCAGCCAAGAGATTAGGAGACTTCTTGCAGACAGAATGAGGACTCAGGCTATGTCACAGCCGAGGGGTGAGGGTCCATCACCCCCTTTTTCTATAGCCCCCAAGTCCTTCCCTGATGGCCCCATTGTGACCATGCCTGTCTTAAGTCACCCCTCCCTTGAAGAATCTTACCCGTCATTGGCTAATCAGTCATACACCTGGGGCCAAGCAGGGTGAAGAAAAGGGGGCAGAGGTCTCGCCCCTACCAGGAAGATAAGCTTTGTCTCCTTAGTGGCTTATGGTTCCAAGGTCCTTTACTTAGCCATGGGGGCTTACAGCTTCTGAAACCAGACAGGGTGGTTCGCAACATTTGAACTATTTAGTGTTTAGAATTTGTACCAAAACACATTTTAGCATTTATTATGTGGCCGGGTTCTTGATTCTTCCCATCCCCCCACTCATACTAAGAGAGATAATTGTGCTTAGCAAGAGAGATTTGTTGATCTTTTAGGAGTTTCCTCTCTAAAGAATATGACGAGGACCCAGAGTCATTCTCCACCCTCAGGGGTGGAGCCAAGACTTAGGCTGCTTGGGCACAGGTGTAAAAGGTGGACCCATCATCCCCTAGTCATGGACCACCCAGGATGACACTAGCACAAAAGCCAGAAACCTGGAGGGAGAGAGGAAAGGAAGATCTCAGGATGCCCAGCAGGAAGTGAAACTGTGCAGGCTGACCTGACTGCGTTAAGACATAGGTGTTTGTTGTTTTTCTGACTCTATATTATAACCAATCACAGCGTTTTCGTTTTTAACTATGACCTTTGCTAGGGTCTACCTGGTTTATGACTCTTAACAAGCTTTCCGGAAGGCGAGGACAGAAGCGGGAAGGACAGGGAGGAGGCTGTTGCGATCTTCTGGGTGAGAGATGTGGCTTGCCTGCGGCGTGAGCGCGGGAGCTGGTGAGCAGTGGTCAGGCTCCGGACGTGTTCCAAATGCTCATGCGGGGTGGGAGGACTCTGAGAAATAGTACGCACTGTACGATTCCATTTATTTCAAATTTTCGAATTACAAATCCATCCATAGCAATGGAGGCAGGAGTGGACAGGCAGGAGTGGAGAGGAGGGAATTACACAGGGGCTCGAGGACTCTTTTAGGGCATGTCAATCATCTTGACCTTGGAGATAGTCTCATGGGTGTATGCATATGCCCAAACCTGTCAGACTGCACACTTTAAATATATGCAGTTTAGTGTATGTCAATCAGCCTCAATAAAGTTATGAAAATAGAGAGTGTACAAGGTTGTCAGATGGACTGGGCCTGGGGTGTGAGAGGAACAGGTGTCGGTAATAGTTTGTAAATTTTTGGCTTGAGCACCTGGAAGATAGGGATTAAAATGCCATTATATTTGCAGACAGGAAAGGTGAACAGAGCAGGGTTCGAGAGAGAAAAACAAAGAGTTTAGTTTTTAACATGTTACGTTAGAGATGCCTGATAGCTGCACCTAAGAATCTAAAGCAAACAAGCACGTAGAAGAAAAACAAAGTGCTCCAGAGGGCACCACGGCTTAAATCCATGGTGCATTGTCTGTGGTGCCTTCTCTCCAGATGGCATGGGGCCGACTCTGGACCAATGGAATGTCTCGTAGCTCCTACCGACAAACAAGTGTGAACACCTGTGAGACGGTCCCACCTTTTCCGTTATTCCGCATCATGGACTGCATGGACCAACCACACTCTCTTCTTTTAAAGGGTCCAGTAGTTCGGGAAAACCGCCGATGGTTTGACTGGTGTTCCAGGTTGATGAACAGCCTGCACGGACCTGCCACGAGCAGGCCTGGGCCGCAGATGAACATAAAATGCTCCGCCCTGGGCCAGAGCATCGGAGCCCCTCCTCCCCGAACTGACCCGCAGGCCTGTGGCACTTCTGTACGTTGCATTTGCAAATAATTCAGTTTTACTGTTGCTTAAACAAGATTTTGCTTCCCCTAGGTCAGACAAAAAAACAAAACAAAACAGAAATTGCACGTTGCTTGATGGGGGCTTGAAAGAGTTGTGATTAACAGGGAGGGTTCTACATGAACGTGAACCTTAGCTTCATCACCCACTAGGGTTTGAATGCCTCAATGTGCTTATCTCGGAAATGAAGACACGTAGCAGTAGGATCTACTATGGTCAGGTACTATAGTTTTGAAGACTAAATGAACTGATAGTTACAAAGACCTTAGAATAACACGCGTTCCTGAAGAAAGACTTGATAAATTTTAGCTGCCATTGGCTGGCTTTGTCCTGCTCTGACATTGAGTCGCCAGTCGTTCTTATGGCAGTTGGTTTCCACTACATTGCGGGCTTCCTTCGACAAGGACCAGCTGTCTTATCTTTGACCTAATACTCCTGCACACGGCCCTGGTGCCCGGCATGAGACGGTGGCATTAGATGGAAGCGCAACACATTTGCATTGGATTCAATTACTTCTTCCCTTGTGGACAGAGCCCAGAGTATCTGAGCTCTCAGCATGGGCACCCACTCGTTGCCCACCTCTGTCTCCCAGGGCCCCTAAAAAGACCCAGCCGGCCACCCGCTGGAGCTGACATCACAATGGACCGTTCCACTCCCACTCTCCCTTCCTAGGCAAAGGCGTGTCCGGGAGCCTGGAAACGCGGACTAACAGTGGCAAACCGTGGGTGGGATTTCATAGTTGGGATAAAAAGGTACCAAACCAAGAATGGGGGGTGCCGACCAGAAATGGGAGGCTGCGAAAAACTCGCATCATCCCACCAAGAGGAGGTTGGTGCGAGGTTAGGGGTCTAAGGTCGCAGAGTCCAGACGGGCGGGGGTGCGGGTGGGGGGTGAGAAGGATGGAGCAGGGGTCTTCATCGCCCAAACCCCTTCCTCTTCTCCCACAGCGGGTGCTGACGTGTGGGACGGGAACCTCTCCAACCGTCCCCAGGCGCCGCCCCTTGGCTGCGCGCTCCACGGCCCTCGGAGCTCCGCCCTTGGCCCCGCCCGCTGGCGCCAGCACCGGCCTCGTCCTCCGCGTCACCGGCTCCCCGCGGTGACCACAACATGGCTGCGGCGCCGGGGCTGCCCTTGTGGCTGCTTCTGCTTGGGATGCCCTGGCAGGTACCGGGCCATCAGAAGCCTGACATGGACCGGCGCTTCTCCGAGCACAAACTCTGCGCCGACGCTGATTGCAGCAGTGAGTGCCAGGGTGACGGGCGGCGACCCGGGCCGGGGCCACGCGGGGGCGGCAGGTCGGCAGCCCACATGCGGGCCGGGCCGGGGGGAGTCGCAGCCTAGGCGGGAGGGCGGGGCGCCGGGAAGCGGGCAGGGGGAGGGGGGGCAGCAAGCCCCGGGTCCCTGCGTTTGTGCACGGAGGCTCTGTGGATGCCCTGGCCGGCAGGCCCTGACCGCGGGGGGCTGCACCTCCCACTTGTTGCCGGCATTTTATTTTTTCTTGGCCGACTGATGCGGGGCTTTGGAGGTTGGAGGTGTCCTCCGTCCTCCCCGGGGCATTACCTGGTGTCCGCTACCCTCGGCCACCCGGCTCCGAGGGGCGATGGGGCGCTGCGCTGCGTGCCCTGGGGTTCCCACACTGCCTCCGAGCACTTTCCGGCCCAGCTGCGGGGAACCCGGCTGGGTGCTGTGCGGGGTCAGAGGTGCTCCAGGCTCGGTGGGCGGATCCCCTGCCGAAGGTTGTTGATGGGGATCGGAAAAGGGCACCCCGGCGCTGCCCCTTCGCCCTTCTGCTTCACTCGGATTTGGGGCACATACCAGCTTTCGAACAAATTTTGGAGTTTAGGTTTGGGACAATCTCAGAGTCCAGGCTTGCAGTGTAGTTCAAGGTCTCCGTCCAGCTGTCTGTCCTGTCATTTCTGTGCTTGGAAGTCGCCTTTCGAGCAGCCAGGCAGGGAGGGCGCCAGCAAGGCCCAAATCTTCCGCGGCTCTCGAAAGTTGCAGAGGATCTGCGTCGGCCACCTGGGACCTGCAGCCTCCTCTCCTTCGCGCAGGACGCGGGATTGTTGCCCAGCCTCGGACTGGGGGTTGGAGGGCGGTGCGGAGGGCAGAGATGTCCAGGCTCTGATGACGAGGATTATGAAAGTAACAACAATAAATACTCTAGGGGTTTTGTAAATCTAACCACCTTTGGCCTTAGCCCCTTGTGTTTGAATCTCTTCCTGTGCGTTTGCCGAACGAGGATCATTCGCGGTCTCCCAGCAGTTCCCAAATAACCTTGTCACTCAGCGATAACCGCTTCCCAGATGGTGGTTCACACATTGTGATCAAAAGGTATAGAAAATGTTCATTCTGAAAAGGCCATGGGCCTACAGTTTAGCTATTTATATTCAAATTGGTGTTATCTGAAGAAGAATTTCACAATTTGAAGTTTGTATTACTGCAACACCATCAAACAAGAAAGGAGGCAGTCTCTGACTGATGCCGTTCCCAGAGGTAACCCAGGGCCGAGGGAAATGCACTAGAAAACCGAGCAACTTCCTCGATTCTTTTCTTTTGTTTTCTCGGAGCAAACCCAGTGGCTGGCAGGCAGGGCTGGCTACAGGCCTGTTCACCACTCCTTGCTGTCAAGCACTCTCCTACCTGAGCTCCTCCAAGCCAGTTACCTGGAGAATCGCATCACTGATGCTTCCTCAGTGGACGAGCTGGTGTTGAAAGAACTCTTCAAGTTGTAGTGTGGCTTATGTCCAAAAGACACAATGTAACCAAACAGCAGGAAGCAGCTGAAGCAAGGCCTGGGGCTGTCTTCTGTGGCCTGCACGTGTCAAAAAGATGTTTTATGGTATGCCCTGTATTGCATCTCACTTATTTTTACACATCCTCAATGACCTCTTCTCAGGGGAACACAAGACACATTGCTGTTTACAATTCTGACACAGTCCCTGGCCTGTCACCCAATCATATCTGAGTTAGCATGCTGACATGTATTGAAATAATAAGATTTTTAGCTTCAAAATCCAAATAACCCCCTTTAAATCAATGTTTGTCCCTCAAACATGTACTTAAGGGATACGTTGTAATATATATTTATTGCTAACGGGCTTTTAGAAAAGTGTTATTTCCATTTCATCCTTCTTTGTCTCTATTTAACTGCTTTTATCGTCCATTTCACCTTACATCAGAAACTGTGTGTCTGGCCAACAAACAGAAAAACACCTCTGCCAGATTCTAGATCGGGGTGATTGAAGGCGGGCGCTTTAAGACTGACGGTGACTAGTGGGCAGTTTTTACAAGTTGTGCTGGTCTCTGTCACACGCGATGTCCACTTCCGATTTTGTTTATAGACATCAGTAAGTAAGGGTATCTTAACTTTGTTTTGTTGGAACAAAACCTGCTTCATGTTGGCTCCAGTAAACATTACTCACTTTCAGACAGTACCACCTTGTCATGTGATTGGACCCATCCTACAGGGTGTGACATCCTTTCCCGGCAATTCATCCACCCAGGTCTTGTGTAGAGAGAACAGCTTGGGGACAAATGAAATGGACAGTGTTTACTGCTAGCGGCACCCGTTGGAGCCACTGAAGGGCAGTACCTTTCAGGGGTTAGTTAAAGTTAATTGATCTCGTGGGGGTTTCTGGGTGCTCTCCCCAGTTCCCTATTACCTCTACGTGCGCCCGTGCTTAAGCTAGTCAGCATCTGCGCTTGAGTTTACCCAACTGCAAAAGGAAGCATTTTTATGACTGTGAAACAGCAAAGGTCAAGACTAGAAGGCTAGAGAGAGAACCAAAAGTTATTACTGAGAACAGCCTGTTAGGGGGTGGACGTGTTGGGTTTTGTTTCTCAGCTTTATCCATAAACAAAACTAGTGAGAGTTCCCCTCTCCCCTGTTTGCTGGGGCTGGCGGGGGTGGGGTGGGGGTGGGGGTGGAATCCTGACTTATAAGGATAAAACAGTAAAGATTTTAGTTCCTCTGTACATAAGACGTGAAAGTGACTGGCTCCAGGCAGTACTGGAGAAAGCTGTTTACAGTGGGCTCTTCTGTTTCCTGATGAATCAATACGGACCACAAAACTCAACTGGAACCCTCATATCTGGTTATTTCTTTTCTCTCTCCATATGCAGTGCTAATGCACCGGGGTGAGGCTCTGGAAGACTTCACAGGCCCGGACTGTCGCTTTGTGAATTTTAAAAGAGGTGACAATGTCTATGTCTACTATAAACTGGCAGGGAAATCACCTGAAGTTTGGGCTGGAAGTGTAAGTAAACATTTGACATGCTTTTTCTTTTTTTTTTTTCCTTTTTCATCACTGAAAAAGATTTATTCAAAGAAAAAGAAAGGATTGCAATCTAGAACCTGCAGACTTGGGGAGCCATGTGCAAATTCTGCCAGGAGAAAAGAGGGCAAAAATGGCATACTTTCTCTTCTGACTTTGTATTGGCTTGCTCAGCACTGTCGATTTAAATAACTGTTCTTAGCGTCCTTGGTGGTGTTCACAGGTCCTCTCTGCTGTGCCTCCCCAGCAGGCACCAGGCTCGGCACGGAGTAGGGGCCCAGCAGAGGTTTCTTAAACAGAGCGAACTGCTTCCGGCTGTTGCTCCTCAGCATCAAGTTCTAGGCCTTCTCGGCCATGGGTGCTCCCTATGTAGTCAAGTTTGAAATGGGGCAGCCTGAAAATTCCTAAGCTTCATTGCTTTAAAATGGAAGGATTCATGGGCATTAGACTTACTCCTGTGAGCGATGTGTGAGATAGTGTTTCGTGATTAAAGTTGATTCTGTGTGCATTTCTTTTTTCTAAATTATTAATATCTGTGAAAAACTGGCAGTTTTGGGAACAGTCACCTAATCCTGAGTGCTGTTCTTAGTCTGTTAAACAGCAAGATGTCATTTTCACTGTGTGCTTTTTTGTGTGTTTGTTGTGCTGGCAACTTCATCCTCTCCGTGCTTGTCAGACGCCTGCTCCCCATGGTCCCCCCGAAGCTCAGTCCCACCCAGTTCTGTGGGTGCCCCGATACCAGACACGGAAATCAGTGAGCACAGCATGCGCTGATGTTCTGAATGAGGATATTCTCTGGGAGCGAGAGATGGAGGGGCGTAGGAGTTAATTTTCCTTTTTAAAGAGTGTGGACTGTATTTACTGAGAGCAGGAAAGGTCTCTGATGTCCTCAGAATTGTCCCAACTTAGAGAAGTACCCAGTCCCAACTGTGAAAGCTTTCAAAATCTCAATGAGACACGAAAACAAACAGCAGAAAAGGAGCCTTCAGAAACCTCCACAGGGAAGAACAGATGGGTTTTGTTGGCAGTTCGGATTCCTAGGGAGGAATATTGAAAGGCCAACCAGTCAGGTACAGTCCTTGTGTTTAGGAAGAGTCCCCGTTGAATCACCCGATACAAAGAAGAAGAATATTCTGTTTCTTTTGAGTCTACCACGTGCGATTTCTTAACAGCCTTTTTTCTTAGACAGCTATTCCATGCCCCTAGGCTGCGGGTTTAATCTAGTGGTCAAGTTTGAGCATCTGAGTCGGTGCACTCAACTTGCACTTCTCTCCCTCCACACTTCTGTGCACAACCAATCCGTGTCCACCTCCGGAATGCCGGCCACCTTCCTGGGTCCCCGCTGTCACCCTGCCTCTTTGGGGAGCACCGCCCTCAGCACCCAGCCAGAAGGGCCCTTTGCTGTCTGATCGTTGCTTAGGAGGCACTGCATCTGCACTGCTTGCGTGGCATTTTTCTCTCTGCTTTGCATTGCAGTTGGCGTGTGTACTGTCTTAGCTCCTGAAAGTGAAAAACCCTGTAATGGGAGGGCCCATGCGTAATGCCTGTTCCTTTAGAATATTTCCTTTCAGGGCAGTGCCGTTCACATTTGTCCTGATAGTAGCTGTGCAGAATTTGTGCCCTTAAAACAGTATTCTGCTTTTCTTTTCCTCCCAAATCAGCAGTCCCTTGGCAGGGATTATACATGGAAGCAAAATTAAGACACGTGGATTACTTCTAGTTATGAAGTAGTCCCTTAATTCTGCACCATTTTTGGAGGGGGTTATGTCATAAGAAATGAGACCCCATCCAGTATAAAAATAAGGTGTTTTATATCACAGGGTTTACACAAAGACAAATGTATTTCTCTACAGATCTCTGATTACTTTTTTCTCTTTTCCAGATTTTCTCTAAGTAAAATTTTCCTGAGAAGGAGAAAAGGGATGTTTTCTCTTATCGCTGTCATTTCGTGAACCTTATAATTCAGGAAATGAAAAACTCTCCCTCCTTAGCTTTCAAATGATTCTTTCTATTTCTTAGTTTTCATCCTGCCATCTGTTTTGGTTTCTTCGAGTGGCAGACTTGAACTGCCGGTGTGGTGGTTTTAATTGCCCTGGGTTATCTAATCTCCAAGGCAGTATTCTCCCACTAACACTGGCTCTCAGGTGGCTGCCAGATATAACCAGAGCCTCATAATGAGGATATTTTAGGAGTTGGTGATAAGATAGTCTTTTTTTTCTTTTTGTGCATTTGATCTATCAGGCCCCTTCTTTAGTGCTTGGGAAGCGATCTGCACTCCCTTTCAGACTGCGGCTGTACCAGACAGGGTGTGTTTCTCGAGAGGACACGACTTAGCGTAACCTCAGGTGTCAGTGCTGCAGGTGAACGGGGTCGTCTTCTACAGAGGTTTACTTTGCGTAAAACTGAAGCTCGTTGTGTAGATTAGTATGAATTTTATTTTCCCCCTAATGCTTGAAACTCTAGTTTTTGAAAAAGCTAGTACAGCCCATAATATCAAGAAATAGTTGCCTTTTGTAGTGTTGGTCATATGTTTCGGAAATTTTGTATTTTTTACGTAGTAATTTTCTATGGCTGGTATTTATTGGTTTAAGAAAGAGCAATGCTGTGAACTGTGGAGGTGAATTCTTGATAGAGGTTATTTGGAATGTGTTTTTGACCAGTTTTGATTTGCATAATTTTAATCATACAATATACAACAATCTTCTCTTATGCAGATCTTTTATCTACTTCAAAAATATAACTTCATGTGCTCTGTGTTTAGAATTAAGCTGAATGTTGAGAGAAAACTTCAGTGGTTTTAGAAAAGTTGTCTTTACGATACTATGTACTCAATTTTTATTAGAATCATAATTTCTGTAGTCATTAAAGTGACGGTGCGTTTCTGTGCTTGTAGCTGCCTGTCTGTCTGTTTACTTTCTCTCGTGTATATTTCTTATACAGAATTTTGATTGATATGTTTCTTTTGCCCATTCTTTTATATAGGTTGGACGTATTTTTGGATATTTTCCAAAGGCTTTAATCAAAGTAGCCCATACATATGCTAAAAAAGAGCTACAAGTTCCAGCAGATGTAAGTTGTGGATTTTGTTTTTTGGTTCTCTATTATAATGCGCTTACAAATTCATAAGTTATTGATTACATTAAGTCCTCACTTAGTATCGTCTATAGGTTCTGTGACTTTAAGCGAAATGACATATAACGAAGCCAGTTTTATCACAGGTTAATTGATATAAGCAAGGGTTAAGTTTCTGTGTCATTTCACCAATGTTACAACAAAATGATACTGAGCAAGATATTGGTCAAGGACCTGCTGTATTTTTGAAGGTCTTTCAGTGTGTTTTGGTAAAAAAAAAGTTAATGTTTGTGTATCAGATTTTAATTTAGAGTCAGACTACCTTTAAAAAGAGGGAAAAAATGAAAAGAATTTCTAGGAGACTTTATATCATAATCTGATAGTTATCTAATACACTGAAGTAGGCGTTCTTATACAAGGCTGTGTACTCTTCTGCGGGGTTATTTTTTGCTGCTTTATATGAGAA